GCAGTTAATATGCAAAAGCGGGCAAATCAAATTCCTCTTGTTATTCATGATTGCGACTTGTACCTACGTTTTAAAAATCTTCTTTTTTTTTAATTTAGAAATAATTTGAAATCCGATCAAGAGTTCAGTGGGTCATGGTCGTTTACATAAAGAAGAATAATATCATCTGTGCTTATCTGAATTATCCTTCAAAATGTGCAGAAATTAGGAAAATCGAAGTACAAACGACTTGAATATCTATTCGCTTGAACTATTCTGATTTTTCCCGAGAATAAAACTCCGAGATGATGTCAATTGGCAATCAACTTGTCGGGCTTGACGAAGTCTCTCAGCTTATTGAATCAGATAAGTTCTTTAATTTATCATCCATTTGCGTAAAGTGTTGGAATGGAAAGTGTCGTCATTCTTATTAAATTTTTGACTATATATAAAATGATGGAACATTTGTATGACTAAATACATACAAATGTTCCAAGATCCATAATAAAATTGGTTAGAACAAATCACCCAAACCCACGAACAATTGTCAAAATTCTTGTGTCTTATTTAATTTTTGTTGAATTAATGATCAAAATTAAGAAAACCTTAAAGAATTACATCAGCATACTTAAGACCAACAATGAAAACAATGGAAATATTGTACATATCTTAAAAGTATGATAATCATACAATTAAAAAAACGAAGACAAAAACCTTTATTAATGACAAACTACAATGGCTTCCATTATACATCTTGATTAGTGCATACATTTTTTCAGTTTCAAAAAATAAGAATGTTTGATAACTACGTAACGTGGGATCATGTTCGCATTTTACACAACTTTAAGAAGGCTTAATAAACAATCTAGATAATAACGACTCATATTAATAAGCACTTCTAACAAAATTACAGGGTTTACCGATAAGTTACAATATTTGTCCCGAAACACACATAAGAATGAAGAAACAGCATTGAGACAAGCTTTCATCTATACAGGGAGGCTTTTGTAAGTATACCCATTTTTTAAATAAAATTCTAGACATATATAATGAATTATAAAAAATGATAAATATTTAAAATCACCCGTAATTAAATAATTAAATTCATTTTAACTTATCTCAAAAAGTGCGTGATTTATGGACAACTCATTTATTTTACGCGCGATCATTCATAACTAACACGCACACAAGTTCGTTTCAAAAGTATACGACGCATTTATGAATGACTACCGCATTGTCAACAAGTTCTGGTTTTTTTTTAGGGAAGAGAATGGCAATTTTTTTGAAAAAAAAAGTTTGTTTTTATTTCAATAAATGATTATTCTACCGAGTCTGAATCTTTTGTGTGAATTTGGGCACCTTTAGAAAAGCCACTCTGTATGTATAAAAGAGAATGCTGTGTGTATGTATGTTCACTTAAAACTCTAAAAGCATTAGCCAAATCGATGTAAAACTTAGCACATATGTAAAGGGTGATATGACGACTCTGATGAACATTGTTACGTTAGTGCCGGATAGGTGGCACTGGTGGCAGTGATTTTTAGCTTTTGAACTTTTAACTTTATCGAATTGATATAGTACGGTTATAAGTAAAATCTTTCTAGGTGAAGCGAAGCGCACCGGGAAGGAGCTAATCTTTATATACTTATATAATTCTTCTGTACGTGTGTATGTATGTCACTGAACTCCTACTAAACGGCTGGACCGTTTTTGATGAAATTGTTTGTGTCTTCAAGTCGATTCGAGAATGATTTATATTCACAACTTGGGACACTACAACTTCTTTTTTATTTATTTATAAGTTGTCGGATTTAAGTCGTGTTTTTTTTTAAATGTTTTTTTATGTTTTTTTTTATGTTAAAAGTTGGCAAACGAGCAGACGGTTCACCTAAGTGAAAACCGCCGCCCATGGACATCTGCTATACCATAGCCAGCAGAGGGTTACAGATGCGTTGACAACCTTTTGAAAAAATTGGGCTCCGGCTACCTCACTCGCCAGACGAAACGTGAAAGTATTTTCCATACTTCCACTTTACGCCGGTCTTCTGTGAAGTCGTGGTACTCACCCGGACGGGCCTGCCCATTCGTACAACCGAGGCTGCTGCGTGGCCCTACCACCGACGAATTTCTGTATACAGGACAACGGCTCTCGGGTCCGCTAGTACTTCTATAAAATACAATAAAACATATAAGATAAAGTAAATCTAAGTGTTAATTTTTATTCTATTTGGAGGAATAATTATTTTATTTCACGTATAACATTATTTTCTACAATTTTGAGCGCCAATTCGCCTTTAAATTGCCATTTTTTTTTAAATTACAGCGCTTAATAATAAAAGTAGGTCAGTAAAGTTACCGTAAAAATATTAAAGATTTTAAATTGTCTTGCTGTACTATTAAGTCTGAACATTTCAATTGGATTCTTATTTAACGTGTCAGGACGAACATTTTATTGTATTTTGTGTTATGAAGTAACTTCAAAGCGACTGCGATGAAGTTTTAGATTTATTAAAACGAATTTTTCTTCAAAAACTGGCCAAGTGCGAGTCGAACTCGCGCACGAATGATTCCGTGCCATTATCTATAAAACGAAAAAAAAAATCATGTCTGTTGTATGGGAGCCCCACTAAATTATTTTTAGGGTTCCGTACCCAAAGAGAAAAGGGTAAAATTTTCATCTGTGAAAATTTCAACAAAAGTCTAATTATCACGGTTCTTGAAATACAGCCAGACAAACAGACAGACAGCGGAGCCTTGGTAATAGAGCCCCGTTTTACCCTTTGGGTACGGAACCCTAAAAGTAACAGTTTATGGACGACATGCATGACAAAAAACTAACTACAGTTAGACCACTTTTATTCAATTAATTTATATTGCGTATTTTATCAGTGGTGTCTGTAAGCTCATCATTGAGTAATAATGTGGCTATTGCTGACAAATCAGTTTCTTAAATATTTATCGGGTTGGAAAATGAATTTCGTAAAGTTTAAAGTAACAGCCATATATTTCCAACAGATAGGCAATGGCCGTGATAATGATGCCAACCTAAGGCTAGCCGGTGTGTTTGTTAGGTGAGGGGCCACCAATATGTATGTAGCATCCAACCTCTCAACAATGTCGAACTAAATGTCTCTTGCGATCGTGACGGAAATTACCATTGGGCTCTAAAATAGAGGTAAGGTGTTCTAAATGTAATTATTCACATACCTATATGCATAATATACAACGTGACGCGAAAACTTTTTAAAATTATATTATTATTATAATTTAAAATTGTAATGTTGCGACGTTGTGGCAACGAATGAAAAAGTTTCTAAATGTATGTATAAGTCAGTTGTAGCAATAGTTGTATAAATTTTGTTTCTCTTAATTAAATTAATTCGTTTGAAACTTATTTTTTTTTACGTTTATATTATTTTATGATTATTGGCAAGTGGCGTTAGAAGTATGTTCATTTATTGTCGCGGTCGTAACGCCATGCTGCATATAGAGATACATATCCTCAAATAAATTGTCACCTTTCAGCAGTCAGGTAAAAACTATGTTTTATCTTCATCAACTTCAAACCTCCTTATGGTGATAACTGTTTTTCCTACGTTTTTAAAGTTGTTAATGTTAGCCCTGCAAGCGGTCGTTTGTACTTGATATTACCATTAATACTGTCATGGTCTGCTAAATGAAAATTAAAGTTTCGCCATATTATGCTTTTAGTTACGCCAGTGTCTTTACATGAACGCTATCAATTATATCTGTAATGATCACTTTAAAGCGGTTGTAACAAGGTTTGAGCAGTCACCTACAAACTTTTGAAGCTAAAAGTAGTGGAGCTCGCTGTGGGAGGTAGGTGAAGGGCCATCGTTGCATTAAAATGATAAACACGAAACAAATGTTCTATAATAATGCTAGTTTTAACAAAGCAATGTTTTAAAACTTTGGCTGAAGTATATGGTTACGAAATAATAGAAGAAAATTTATCTTTTAATTTTTATTGAAGTCCATGAATGACTTCAATAAAAATTAAAAAAACTTCAATATTTTCTACAACTATAGAGGTACGTAAGAAAATTTTATAGAAACCACTTTAACAACAATGGTTGTTTCAGATAATCCTTGTGTATATACAATGTCCATTATTACTTTTAAAATCAACGGGAAGCAGTATGAAGGTAAGAAAATACAAAAGATTATAAAAAAATTACTTATTACGTGAAATTTATACGTTTAATATTTTTATAGGTTTAAATGATCACCATTTATAACAAAAATAGCGGCAAGATAAAATTTATAAAATATGTCATCATCGTTATTTTTACAAGAGGAACATTCTATTTTTATTCACTCGAAAAAATGCTATAATAGTTTCATTACTATTAGTTAAGTTACAGTCACGTAAAACAGATGTTTATATTTGCTACACTGGAGAGTTATAAATAAATTAATATGATCAAGTGGTCAGTCGGGCAAGTGAAAAGAAGCCTTTAAACTTTAAATCAATTTCGAAACTGACTCTTGAAAGAAGCGAAGACACTGACGGCAACTAAAAGCACCTTTTATGTTTTAATTGTGTATATTTTACATAAATACTATACAGTAAATTTTTTTAACAATCGGTTAAAACAGTCAGTCGTATGACTGCATGTCAGAATTGAAAACATCGTAGCTTCACAAACTCGACAAACTCGTTAGCATAGTTTTTGTGTTATAATAAATGACATTACATACAAACATATATCATTAGTGCACCAAAATTGAGACACTCAAATTACACCAATTGGTGTAATTAGATTGCAATTCAATAGAGTGCTAATTCTTTCCATATCATACGTTTTATATCATTTGTCACATTCACTTATATATCTAAATATATAAAAATGAATCCATTTTTTCCCTTGGTCACGCCATCTTTTGAATAAAAATATGTGGCACTAAAGGGCAGTTTGTTTGTATTATTCTCGAAATATTTCTGTACAGTTGATGGAAAATATGGTCCGGATTTTACACTGTACGAGTTCATAAGAACAATGGCTGATTTGCGCGGCACTAAAGCTATGTGCCAAGAAGGAGGTTGCGGGGCGTGCGTGGTCTCTGTTAAAGCGCCGTCACAACCTTCGAATGAATTAAAAACATTTTCCTTAAATTCGGTAAGTCGGAAGGAATCAGAAAAGAAATATTTTAGAATGGCATTATGTTTTAGAACATACTATATACTAAAATGTCATCAATTTTTGCCTGTTGAGACGCGTTTAACACGACGAATTAACATTCATATCCTATAGCTTTGAACTAAAGCGTTGGTATGAAATGAAATACATGGACATAAGATAAAATGGAAAATAGCCAGATAATAAAACAATCAACGATATAATATATAAAAGGCTTCTATTTAATACGTTTGCTTTTTTTACTAAATATGAAAGGAAATAATTGATACCTGAGAGTAATTTTACGTCCAAGTTCACTCTCTCCTTCTAAAGTACCTACTTCAAATTTCAAATTTATTGTTGATTTTAGTGTCTTGTATCTGTTTTGTCTTGTCATGGATGGGAAATTACAACCATCGAGGGGATTGGCAACAGAATAATTGGGTACCACAATATTCAAACTACACTTGCAAAATTCAATGGCACCCAATGTGGCTTCTGCACACCCGGTTGGGTTATGAGCATGTATAGGTAAGTAAATATATTCATAAGTGGACAAAATGAATCTCTATTGAAAATGATATTGTTTTCCAAAAACCTGTTTTTTTCATCATTACCATGTGTCATTTTCAGTCTATACAAATCAAAAAACGGAAATCTTAGTGCTGCAGAAATTGAAAATTCATTTGCTGGCAACATTTGCCGGTGCACAGGATACCGATCAATAGCAGATGCCTTCAAAACGTTTGCTATTGATGCCGATAATGGTATTCTGAAAAAGCTTGTTGACGTGGAAGAATTGTCTACAATTAAAGCTTGCGGTGTGAAATGCAAAGATATCTGCCCATATAGAAATTCTAAAAGATTTAATGCAATAGGAATTAAATGTGATGAAAAACAGAAAACCCGCGACAGCTGGTGTATTCTGGGCAATGCTAATAATGAGCCGTTAACAGTGAAAAGTGATGCGTTTCGATGGTTCAAAGTTTACAACTTGCATGATGCCTTTAAGGCCATTGAGCAAAGTGTAAACGATTATAAGTTAGTTGCTGGTAATACAGGGCAAGGTAAAATTTAAATCTGGTAAAATTTTCATATTGAACACTGAAGGTATCTGGAATTATTGCAAACATTTCCTTTTTTATGTAAGAATGTGTCAAGCGACCTGGTGGTTGACCTGATGTTCAGTGATAACCGTCGCCTATGGACAATTGCTACACCCGTAGCGTTGCGGCCATTTAATAAAGTGGGCCCCGGCTACTTCACTCACCAGACGAAACAGAAGTATGACACTTAAACGTTACGCCGGTCTTCTGTGAGGCCATTGTACTTACCCAGACAGATCAGCCCATTCGTGCAATAGCCGAAGCCGTTGCGTGGCCCTACAACAGTTAAATAGTTGTTTAGTTTATAGTCTATCATCCGTTATCATTGTATTATTATTATTAGTCTGTGCGTTGTAGCTTAACACCAAGCTGACATGTTAATATTTTGAGATAACTAGAGATTGAACACCTTTTACTCTAATAAGTAAGCTTCTATTAACACTTCTCAGGGCTAAGTATTTAGTAGCGATGTAAATGGAATTGAAACAAGCCATGATAGCTCAGTATCCGAGCGCTCGCCTTTAATTCAATTTACTCGAGCAACCCTAGTTCAATCCCCGGTGCCAACATCGATGAAATTGTTAATTTTAAGTGCTGACTTAACACGTGCTGAGCGGTAAAGGAAAACATTGTGAGGAAACCTTTTCGAATTTCGAAGAAATATTTTAAAAAATGTTGGAAAATATTTGAAGTCCACCAATCCCCAGAGGGTCACGTCAAAACAAAATTACTTTATTTCCAAAAAAGAATTATCAATTATAAATTTTTGGTATTCCATATAGTTAGTATAGTTTGGTATTCCATTGATATTCCAATTTTTTTTATCCATATTATACATTTTACAATTTTATCCATCCAATCGTATTCATTTTCATCCAAATCCAGATTTGTATAAAAATGAATACGACACGTACGTACATTGTAGCGTAACTAATTATGAGGCTTGACAAACGTGATTTGTATGACAGCTATCACCCGCACCAGGCTACAACGCACGAACTATAATTGAAAGTATTAAATTTTTCACTTCCGCTTACAAAAACTTCTTACTTCTTGCATAAAATAACTAACTTGTGTTGAATGTAACGACTATAACTTCCTTGTATTAACGCTATCCCTTATCAATTAATAATAATAATAATTGTTTAATTCTCTCCACAAACCCAGTACAAAACTAAATCTGATGCTATGAGATAAATTACATTGACTTCAATATTAATACATATCATTTAAAAATATTGTTTTCTATGCAACATATTAATATTAGCGACATTTCCGTATTCAAAGAATAGTTTCCTTCCACTTCTGTCAGACATTGAGCTTAACTGGACAAAAATATCGTCTCGTTACATTATTATATCAAGTGTTATTGAAAGATTTTTGGAACACCACATTATCTTGAAATCAAAATTACTTCAGGTTCTATATATATTATAAATATGTAAATTATTCTTAGGAGTATATCACGAAACTGACTATTCTGGTAACATCATAGATATTACTGACGTTACTGAATTAAAGGATTTTTCGAAACATTATCTTGAAATCAAAATTACTTCGGGTTCTATACTTATATATTATAAATATGTCAATTATTTTTAGGAGTATATCACGTAACTGACTATCCTGGTAACATTATAGATATTTCTGACGTTACTGAATTAAAGGATTTTTTGCTGGATGTTAATTTATCACTAGGTGCTGGAATGTCTTTATCTGATATGATGGAATTATTTCTTAAAATGTCAACTGAAAATGTCGACTTCTTTTATTTGAAAGAATTTTATAACCACATGGACTTAGTAGCTCACATACCGGTTAAAAATGTAAGCAATCTTTCAAGTAATTAATTGTTTAATTAAATATGTAACATCATTTGACTAAATTGAATTAAATTTAGGATACTTTTTAAATTTTGTTTCAGATTGGTACAATTGGTGGAAATTTATTCATGAAGTACTTGAACCGAAATTTTCCGTCCGATTTATTCTTATTATTTGCGACCATTGGAGCTATGCTTACCGTTGGTAAAATAAAAAATTATATCTTCAACTTGTATATAATTTACATTTTATAGCTTATACATTTCCTTGAAAGGGCTAATTAGAAATAAGATTATCTGCAATTTTTAAAATTTGTTTTTTTTAGCTAATACTGTAACTAGTAAAATCATAATGTCACTCGAAGATTTTTTGCATGCTGATATGAAAGGAAAAATTATTATTAATGTTTTGCTACCACCGAAGTCAAGTCGATGTTCCATTAAAACGTTTAAGGTAAAAAATAAAATGCTTTTACAACGTGAGTGTGTTATACGATGTTAATAATGTATTTTTGTAGTATTTATGTTATTTACAATACAGATTATGCCAAGATCCCAAAATGCGCACGCAATAGTCAATGCTGGCTTTTTATTCGATTTTGAGACGAACTCCAATATCATAAAAGAAGTCAATATTGTGTATGGAGGAATTTCAACAAATTTCGACCATGCAAATAAAACGGAAGCAATTTTAGTGGGAAAAGATCTCTTCATAAATGAAACACTAAAAATAGCATTAAACTCATTATTTGATGAGATAATTCCGGAAGAATCACCCCCGGAACCCTCAGCTTATTTTAGGAAAATGCTGGCAATCACTCTCTTCTATAAGGTAAAATAAATTTACTGTTCTGTCTGGGAACGCTATGCTACAACAACTTTTAAGCAAATATCTGTTGTATTATCAAATTCAAGTGTATCAAAGAACAAAACAAGAAACCTAATTACTACTTACTTTTTAAATGCGTAAGTCACGATCCATGACAAAGTTTTTCTTTAATATAGCTTTTTAAATTTTAGGCCATACTAAAGATTTGCCCAGCGGATAAGAAAAATCCAACATTTACGTCTGGTGGGGATACCTTGCGTAGAACTCTTTCGAAAGGTAGCCAGGTTTATGACACCGATAAAACTCTATGGCCCTTAAATCAACCAGTGCCTAAAATTGAGGCTTTAACTCAATGCAGCGGTGAAGCTAAATTTGCGAATGATTTTCCAAAGCAGGTCGATGAAGTATATGCGTCATTCGTTACAGCTGATGTTAATCCCGGCAGTGTTATAAAAGAGTTCGAAGCAAGTGAAGCCTTTGTAAGTCTATTTAATGCATGATTATGTATACTTCGCTTTTATTAAATATTTATCGTTGTTAAAAATTCATAATATTTAAGGTAGATTAGATGCATTGAATCTACCTACACGTTAGCTCAAAAGTAATATTATAATTTTTTTAAATTTTGTACAATAATCACAAAATTCTATATGTCAGCTGCAACAATAAGTCATACTCAAACATTTTCAGAAAATTCCCGGGGTAGTCGCATTCTATACTGCTAAAGACATACCTGGTGATAATACGTTTACACCGACTAATGTACCCTTAATTTCGCAAAACGAAGAAATTCTATGCTCAAAAGAAATTAAATTTTATGGTCAGCCCGTTGGAATTATTGTCGCTGATAGGGAAAAAACTGCACTTAAGGCTGCGGGGCTAGTAAAAATTCAGTATCATACAATAAATCAAAACAAGCCTTTATTAACATTAGATGACGTTTTAAATTCGGATGAGAAAGAAAAGAGAATTAAAACGGACAAAGTACTTGAGCCTACAGATAAAGGAAATGACATAAAAGCTGTACTTAATGGCAAAGTAAATTACCATACACAATATCATTTTTATATGGAACCACAAACTTGTATTGTAAATCCAATAGAGGGAGGTATTGAAGTATATTCTTCTACACAATGGCTTGACATAACAAATGTAGCAGTGGCAAAATGTTTAAATATTCCCGTTAACAGGTAAATCAACGATTGATAATATTTGCATAAAACTTTCTGTTATTTAATTTTTTTTAGATTTTAATTGACATTTTAAAGTATCGTCTACGCAAAGACTCTTACTTGTTTACTTTTAAATCCATTCCTAAGATAAAAAAATCACATAACATTGAAGTGAAACTTCATTCATTTATTCTGAAAAACGTCAACTATTGCTTGCCCTTCTCAAACTTGCGAAAACTGGATTTGACGATTGACATGATTAACATTAAATTGACGTTTTAGTGAACAAACTTTTAATAATTTATTTCAGTGTTAACGTAATCGTGCGAAGAGTTGGCGGTTCATACGGTGGTAAAATAACGAGATCGACTCAAATAGCATGCGCAGCGTCTATAGTATCACATTTACTTGGAAAAACCTGTCGATTTATACTATCCATTAAAACGAATATAAAAATTGTCGGTAAAAGAATACCTACTAATTGTTATTTTGAAGTAAGTTAAGCTTGTTGATAGGTTGTAAGTTTTGGTATATAAGAATATTTTGTGACAAAATGTCATAAATCACAGGTTGGCATTAACGCAGTGGGAGAAATACAATATTTGAATAACAAGTTTTACCAGGATAATGGTTTTTCGTGGAACGATACGATATCACCTCTAACTTTGAAGCATTTTTGTAGCTGTTATGATTTTCGGCGGTGGTTTGTAGAAGCCAATAGCTTCATCACGGACACACCTGCTAATACTTGGTGTAGGGCCCCTGGTAAGCATTTCCTACTTTCATTTAAAATTTCTTTTCAATGCATTGTTCAACTGAAGTATTAATAAATTTTCGTAAAGCTTCAACAGAAGGAGTTGCGATGATTGAATATATTATGGAACTTATATCTCATTACACTGGTAAAGATCCTATACAAGTTCGTCTACAAAATATGATAAAAGAAAACAATCCTATCCCAGAACTTATTGATCAACTAAAAATCTACTCTAATTACGAAAGTAGATTGGCAGAAATTAAGGATTTCAACACAAAGAACCGCTGGAGAAAACGTGCCATTAGATTAATGCCAATGACGTATGAAATTTTTTACATCGGTCCATACCCGGCTACCGTGTCCATATTCCACTCTGATGGATCTGTCATCATTACACATGGCGGAATAGAAATGGGCCAAGGTCTAAACACGAAAGCAGCACAGGTGTGCGCATACATTTTGGGAATACCTCTTGAGAAAGTCAGCGTCAAACCCAGTACTAGCTTTGCGTCACCAAACTCAATGACAACTGGTGCCAGTATAGGAAGTGAGTGCATTTCTTTCTCGGTTATGAAGGCTTGTCAAACTCTACTAGAAAGATTACGGCCGTTCAAAGAAAAGAATATAACCGCTACATGGAATGAAATTGTGAAGGAAGCATTTCTTGCCGGAATATATTTACAAGCATCACATATGTATACAACTACAGATCCAATAAGCCCATATGAAATATACGGAATAGTCGCATTAGAAATCGAATTGGATGTATTAACTGGAAATCATGATATTCGCAGAGTCGATTTATTAGAAGACACCGGAAGAAGCTTAAGTCCCGTAATCGATATTGGACAGGTAATCACACTTTTATTTGCATTTTGTCATAGGTTTCATATAGTATTAAGACTTTTTTAAAATGTTTAAATGTGGTAGGACCACGCAACAGTTCTCGCTGATGCACGAATGGCAGGTCCATCCGGGTAAGTACCACGAACTTACAGAACACCGTCGGGTAAGTTGAAGTATTACACTTCTGCGTTTCGTCTGATGATTTGGGGTGGTTGGGGCCTACTTTATTAAAAGGTGGCAATGCATCTGCAACCCTACGAGTATTGCAAATGTCAATGGGCGGCGGTTATCACTTAACATTGGTGAACTGCCAGCTCGTTTGCCACCCTTTCATATAAATAAATGTTTTACATCACCAGATTGAAGGAGCTTTTATAATGGGCTTGGGCTATTGGACGTCAGAGAAGATCATCTACGATCCAAAGGATGGCAAAATATTGACAGATCGTACTTGGAATTACAAACCGCCGGGCCTAAAAGATATACCAGCAGATTTTAGAATATATTTCAGAAGAAATTCAAAGAATGATGTTGGGGTACTACAGTCGAAAGGTGTGAAACTGTGCAAGATACTTTTTTTAGCTTTCATTTCTAAAAGGAGACTATACAAAGTGACCAATAATTTATTTATACACCTCAGAGTACGGATCACGTTTTCATAAAATACCTATAATTATCTAATAAAATAATTAATATCGAAAAATTTTTTACGAGTAAAAATGTATTTTTAGGTATTTTTATATTTTAAGCTCACGTTGTAAAAATTTTTATTTTTTTTTGACAACCATACGATTCTTTAAAACTATACGGATTTTACAAAATAGGAAATTTAGGATCTTTGCTGTTATTATTATATAGATAATTATTTAACCTAAGTTTTTTATCAGCTACCGGTGAACCCGCGCTTTGTTTGGCATCTGTAGTAACTCACGCCTTAAGAGAAGCTATACGCGCTGCGCGATTGGACGCCGGATACGACGATCAATGGATTGAATTGGGTAAGAAAATATATCCTGTGGGAGGTAAAACCTTGTGTCTATCCCGTAAACAACCGTTACTTTAAGATATAAAATGATTGCAACTCTACAAGAGAACTTTTGGAAATCAATTAAACAGCTATTATGTAATATATAGCGCAATGCTATTATTTATTTTTCAAAGTAAATTGTTTATTTCCTCTCGATTAATACAAAATTTGCTCATGCTTTACATAATTTTAGGAATTGAAGAGTTCTATATATCCATAGTATATTGACATCGGCGACTTAATAAGCACATTTCTCTTTTTTGTTTCAGAACATCCCTGCACCGTTGAAAATGTTTTCATGGCGCTTGGCCACAAGATGGAAGACTTTAAATTGATTTAGTAAAAGCTAATGCGTTTTTTTAATCATGTGTTAGTATTAAGTATCAAATGAAACAAAATAAATAATCTTTAAATCAAGCTATTGTCTTCTTTATGTTTTGTTTAGCTAGACTGAAGAATTAGAAGAATTACCAAGTGTAGGTAATAATGTCAAAGCAATTATGCAAGAATGTTCACAGTGTCACAGACTACAGTTGTCTGATGCAAAATGTCGCCTTAGCTCAATATCAAATGAAGGGATCCATGAGGCAATCCTGAAGTACTTTAAAATATTTTACACAAATTAATGTGCTTATTAAAATAGATAAGTTTATGAGCGGCAGTATTAGCCAACGCCTAATGTTTAAGATATATTATTATGTTTGCAAATCTACGCGTCAATAACCTTTATAGATATCTGAGTGTTCATATCTCAAACGGCCAAACATTTCGTATAAAAAACGTCGGATAAAGATAAGAAGTTAAAAAGTAAAATCGATTAACTCTGTGACAAAAATAAACTATTATTTAAACCACGCAGTAATCATCTCTAAAATTTCTTAATCAAAAAAGCCTCCCTAAAGCAAGAACACTCTTTACTAAAATTTCAATGTAAAATCAGAATAATAACATACCTATACACAGGCCGGTAACGCCATAAAGTGAGCCTCATGCACGTTTGCCCCATTATTTCGAAAAAAAAACCCTACTCATACTAAAAATATTATATACGGTCTTCTACCCGAACATCTTCTGCAGATAAAGCTTTGAACACACATTGTTGTAACGACTGGTTATGCCAAAGGATCATAGATTATTCAGACTGGTTAGCTGTTAATATAGAGGAAGCTTCTTGCGTAATCTTCCTGTGATTTTTTCTGCACAAATTTCCACATCGGGATTTCTGATATTTTCCAAGAGCACGAGGCACACCTTGAAACAACTGTAAAATGGTGATTCAAAATGATAAAAACCTTTCATCTAATATTCACTTCTGTCCGAATCTCTCAATCTAATGTTACAGTACTCAAGAACCACTTAACCTTGAAATAGAATTCGCGGTCGCCTTGAGAAACATTATTAACTGACTTCCTAAAAATGTATTTGGAGGCTCTGGCTACTTCTCTCATAGGACGAAAAAAGGCAAAAGGACATACTTTTAAGGACCGTTTAAGTCGCCTTATTCGTGTAGTAATTCTTCAAATTAATTAAGGTATTTATGTAAATCATTGCTGCGAATTTTTACCTTCAACTGTTGCACGAATGAGTGGCTTAGTCTGAGGTATCACAGCCTCACGCACTTTGTCTAGTGGATAGGATAACCGTGATCCGTGTACCGTTACATATCTTGTAGTACGTGATCCACTTTTCATCACCAGTTATCAGGTTTTTCAAAAATGGTTCGGTTTCGTTACGTCGTAATAAAGAATCACAAATGAATACACGGTACATTATCTTTCAGTGAGCTCATGAAGCACCCAAATATCGAGCTTTTTTGTGTACCCAGCTTTTTTCAAATGCGCCTAAACTGTTTTGTGGTCAATTCCCAGTTCTTCAACTACATTGAAACTGATATGCTGATCTTGCTCCACTTTTTCAAAAATGGCATCCATTTTATCCGTAACAGAGCGTCCCAGAGTTAGGTGCATCTTTGACATCAAAATTTCCGGATTGAAAACGCTTAAACCACATTTGTGCTACTCTCACAGACACTGCACTTGGTCCATAAATATCACAAATTTTTTTTCGCAGCTTGCGTTGCATTTATACCTTTTTGTAATAAAATTTTAAAATGTATCGAATTCCAACATTATAATCACTCATCTTAACAGTAAGAAAAACAAATGAAAACCACACATTTTCTCAATTTGAATTTGGAATTATCTTTTTTAAAATTTAAACTTTTTAATGATACCAAAACCAGTCAGATACAAATGGTATAGCAAAAAAGATTAATATAATCATACATACTATTTGCGAAAGAGGTTTTCCTCGCCCCAATATATAGGTATTTTCTGTAATGTTATATTGAAAATTAAACTTCACTTATATGTATTAATGTACTAGATATAAAGAAATACTTCTTTTGCCTTGTTAGAGTTTGATACGAAACTACCGTCATTAAATATTCAGTGTTACGCCTTCAATATTGTCCGTCAATTTGTCCTACAGCCCAGTAAACGGTATTAACTACTTGTTTTCTTGTTGTAAGTTAAATAGCTAACGAACGAAGTTACTTTTGAAATATTTATTCGAAAAAAATATACTCTAACCTACCTTTTTGGGTAACCCACCCCTAGTTGGTCAGACAAAATAATATTTTCAAAACACTTAACAAGCCAAAATGTAGAATTTTTCAGCAACTATATGATTCGGCTAAATTCAAATTACTGCAATTTGAAAGTGACAATGTTACTGAAAACTACTGCTAACAAGAAAAAAATCAGGAAGAACCAATAACCATTTTCTATAAAACAAAGAAAATATGAAAACATAAACCTCTCCGTTGAATATAAAAACTAAAATGGTTATTATTATATATTTATATATTAAAACTTGATTTAAATTGATGTAAATGATAAAAATAACAATTCAATCAATCTTATCTCATAAAATAAAAAATTACCTAAAGTCAAAGACAATTCGGAGAGTCAAAAATTTTACTTTAAATACTAATTTTGTAATTTACTCATTTTCAAAGCATTACATGTTTTACAGTAAGAATAGTTATAAACATTTAAGTAATTAAAAAAATTATTACATATATATTTATTAATATAATTTACGTAATAAAAAAATACCTATGTTCCGTTATTTGAGCTGGTTGTCGGTCAATAACAAATTTGATACAAGTTCCTCTTCCAAGCAATCAAATTATTTCATCAGAAATTTTAATTAAAAAAAATCCATGGTTTTTTTTTATTTTATCGCGAACTATAACATAACGAGATACGGAATCATGATACATTGAATGAAAATTGTACAAGGACTTTCCCACTTCTTTCTCGAACCACTACTGGAAAGTTCGAATCGTTGAATGAATTATTCCTTTTCAGCCGACTTTAATAAAGGAGGTTCTCAATTCGACTGTATTTTTTTATGTTTGTTACCTCAGAACTTTCAACTGAGTGAATCGATTTTGATGATTCATGTTTATTTGAAAGCTGGTACTTCCCATGTGGTCCCATATTAATTTCATTGGTATTGGATCTAGGGCTCCGAAGATACGTAGGGAACTCCTGAAAATTAATTATAAAATGAATACAGCGCGAGATATTTGAATTCGGTTTTGTCTTTCGTTGATAAAAGTATGGACTGGTTAAATATTGTTTATGTAAGTGACCCATTGCGGAAACTTTTTGTGTGACCTATGTATCTGACGCATATAACTGTTGCAAAAATGGGCAGGTCCGTCCGGGGAAGTACCACGACCTTAAAGAAGACCGGCGTGAAGTGGAAGTGTTATACTTCTGCGTTTCCGGTGAATGAGGTAGACGGGGCCCGCTTCATTAAAAGGTGGCAACGCATCTGTGGTTTTACTGCAACACCCTAAGGGTGTTGCAGTAAAACCACCAGCTTGCCACCTTCTTGCATAAAAAAAATATAACACAAAATAATTTTACAATAAATCACTACAAATCAGAATAATTTTGCTTTGTCGCACGAAGGCCTTTGATGATAGGGCGTTTGTCCACTATAGATACAAATTACGAAATCGTTTTTTTCTCTAATTGCAATATTGTATGACGTACGTTTCCTCCACCATTGGCTCGTAGGCGGTGCCTAGTACATTCAAGAAGACAAAGCATTGCATAATACCTATAATCTATTTTTTTATATTAATTGTTTAGGTTTTTATTGTTTTTTTTTTTATTTAACTATTTATTTCTGTTCATTAAGGATTTTCTTATGAGAGGAAACTTAACTAGTATTTGTACAAGCTATATATAATAATAAGTGTGGTGTATACTGTATGTCTCCCAAATAATAATAAAGTAACTTTTTTTAATGTATCAATATCTTAAGGGATGGTGAGTATTTCATGGGGAAAAGCCCTACATGTGTCATTAACATTGTAACTAACTTTATATCTAGATCTATAATTTATTCATTTTAATCACGTACATGTAATTACAATTAACAAGCGTTACAGAGCTGCCGATTTGTATTATTTGATTTGATTTCTATTTATTTATTATTTGATTTTTTGCTATTTAATTAAATCCGGAAGTTGGGCAGCAACGGCTACCGCGCACACAACAACTATAACGGTGATTTCTTTTGTGACACGGTGGCAAGCGCGCTGAAGGTTCACCGGGTGTTAAGTGATAACCGCCGCCCATGGACATTTGCAACACCCGTGAGGCTGCAGATGCGTTGCCACCTTTAATGAAGCGGTCCGGCTACCTCACTCACCAGAAGAAACGCAGAAGTATAATACTTCCACTTCGCACTGGTCTTCTGTGAGTTCGTAGTACTTCCCCGGATGGACCTGCCCATTCATGCAACAGCGAAATCTTGCGTGGTTCTACCACAGTTAAAACTGCGGTCCTAAAACATCTGCCAAGCTTGGGGTTTAAGGCAAAATGCTTTTTGTATATTTGGTAATTGTTCTGTACCCAAAGGGTAAAACGGGACCCTATTACTAGGGTTTCGCTGTCTGTCTGTCCGTCTGTCACCAGGCTGTCTGTCCGTCTGTCTGATGAACCGTGATAGTAAGACAGTTGAAATTTTCATAGATGGTGTATTTCTGTTTCCACTATAACAGAAAATACTAAAAAACAGAATAAAATTATTTAAGCGGGGTTCCCATACAACAGACATGATTTTTTGACGTTTTTATAGATAATGGTACGGAACCCTTACTGCGCGAGTCCGACTCGCACATGCTTTTTATCTTCTTCATATTTTGTACATTTTGTAAATTTCAATAACGCTCTCATAATATTAGCTACATATGAATGTCCCTTTGGCTGTCATAAAAAACTAAGTACCTTTGTCAGCCGCATAGAAGTTGACATCTGTACGTGACACACAATTTTATTCAAATGAAGTGGTACATATTTGTTTAATATTAAAAAAAATAATAATAAAATACATTTTAGGACACGTTCTTTTTACACAACATTCTCTAGTCCCAAACTAAGCAATGCTTGTACTATGGGTACTAGAAAACTGATAGACATACTTAAACATACTTTTCTTTTGTAAATAAATACACATTATACATATATAAACACCCAGACACTAGAAAAACACTATGCTCATCACACAATATTTTTCCAGTAGTGGGGATCGAACCCACACCCTCTGGCGCAGAAGGCAGGTACACTACCGACTACGCAATTTGGGTCGTCAATAATGTGTAATGTGTTTTAATTAACAAAATGTAGGTAAATAAATTAAATAAATTTAAACACATATAATGTGTTTTAATTAACAAAATGTAGGTTAAATAATAGCAAACATTAAACCAAACATAAACTTACAATTCAAAAGAGCAATTTAAATGTGTAAGAATTTTACAGACATTTTTAGGTCAGAAATAATTATCGTTTCACGCGAATTTTGTCTACAAAATTACTTTAATGAGTCTTGTATTCAATGTTTTTAACTTTTGTTTACGTTTCGAATACTATTCAACGTTCTTGAATATTGTTCTAAGGGCTGTCGAGAACTTTAAAACCATAAATCTTAGTCTTATATCAAAAATCTTACATCTTAAACATCTTTCTCATAAATAAAAAAGTATGTGTGTACATATGTACTTACGTAAGAAATTATTATACTTCTTAAGCTTAACAAAAGAAAAATAAATAAAAAATTTGTTACTATTAACTACGTAAATAAATACGTAACATACCGATACGTAAAGAAACATATAACAATGAATCGTATAAAATAATTTATAAGGAAAGGAGAAATTAAACTAAAGCAAATTAAAATCATTCCACGCTACATTTTGTGAAAAAGGCAATTTTACAAAATGATATACCTATGGAGTTTATTCTTTACTCTTATTACATGAATGCTTGTCATAACTATGTATGTCAAAATTTGGAATTTACACTTACATAGTTGACCACACCGAAATTAATTCAAATTGTAAGTTAATAAAGAAGAAGAAATATTAAATATCTAAGTGTTTCAATCAGATTGTTCATATATTTCAAATGTTATCTTGATCAGGGAACTCACTCGTGCGTTTATCTTGACAAAGTCGATGTTCAGCAGAAAATAGGAAGAATAAACTTGTAAAAATTGGATCCGTTATATTGTATTGTTCAATGGATATTTTTATAGAAATACATTACTACATTCCGACTTTAAACTATTACAATATAAAGTAAATAAATAAACGGTATTGAAAAAAAATGTCAGTTTTTGAATAATTTACCGTTTTCGACTCAAGTGTACGGTTTCCCACGCCTACGGAAAGTATTGCAATCGGGGCCAAGTAATCTAGCAGCTGTCTCCATATACGGACACGTGTCCCCATATACGTGTAAGTCATTCTCTTGTTCTCATATGTACCTTTCTTTCAATCTAATATTTTCGATTTCTTATAAATATAATGCATAGAGCTATAATGAAAGAACGAGAGAAAATGGTATGGTAATTTAATTAGATCATGTATATTTTTATTGACAAAAATAATTTTTTTTTTATCAAAAATGAACCGACTTCAAAAAACTCTATTAGTGCTAAAATAAGAATAGTGTCGAAAATAGAAACTCCTCCTTTTTTGAAACTGACAATTATCACACTCACGCCCGGTTTCTGAAACACTGATCATCATAGATGTCAACTAATCAGCCGTCAAATATCTTTTCAAATTTCATTTTAATTGCCAAAAGGATGGTTAAACTCTTTGGATTGATCGTTCTGATCATTTAAAGATCATTCTGGTATATTTTCTATTTCATTTTGAGGAGTTCCCCGATATTTCTCTGGAGTCTAAGGTCTCATACAAATGAAATTGATATTGGACAATACGGAAATTAAGCCAAAACTTATTTATAAATAAGGGGGTTCTGGGCTTAAGTCTAATTTGGATTTTATTTCCTTGCACAGAATCAAAATGTAGCTGTAATTAATAAAAAACCATACCCAATAACTCATTGCAATGTCTTTACCTTGTCGAAAACTAAAAACTCCAAGAATTCAAAAGGAAGAATTGGGAAAATTATCAAGAAAAGGGAGAATTAGTTTCCTTTTTAACTGTAAACGAGTGGTTAAGATCAGTGTCTGATAGCACGCAACTTACGACTCCACCGTTCATAGACTTGGTGTGACAGAGCATACACGGTCAACCACGGCTTCCATGCTCCGCTCTAAGATACAATTAGCCACACTGTACTGTTTTTTAAGGATACATGCTATCCCCATCGAAGATTTTCACTCAATCTACAATAACTAAACAAGGTACGGCCCTACGGTGGTAGGGCCACGCAACAGTGTTCGCTGTTGCACGAATGGGCAGGTCCGTCCGGGTTAGTACCACGACCTCACAGAAGTAGAAGTGTTGCACTTTTGCGTTTCGTCTGGTGAGTGAGGTAGCCGGCCCACATTATTAAGAGGTGGCAACGCATCTGCAACCCTACGGGTGTTGCAAATGTCCATGAGCAGGCGGTTATCACTTAACATCAGGTGAACCGCCAGCTCGTTTGCCACTTTCTCATATAAAAAAAAGAGACAAAAAAGGTGGGTCACAGTCAATCACTCTCAACTCAGAAAAATATTTTTAGATTTAGTTTCTTTCGTGTTCTACAAATCTTTATTAGTAGGAATCAAAATCGCCGGTAGTTACGGTTTTACCTACGACGTAGCTCTTATTAACCTTCCTGCAATAGTAATAACCGTTAACCGTGCGAACCGTTGCACGTTCTAATGAATTATCGTTGGCTTCCCTCTGTATATCGATTAACCCGCATCTATGATCATCTTGAATCGCTTTATTTAGCAATTGACTGCTGTTTTTCTCAGAGAATTTTCAAAGTTGCACACTACGAAAATACCATATAAATCTTTTAATTTTCAAAAATATTTACATTTTATTAAATACCTTAACGCTCAGATCAGACACGCAGCCGAAATTTTTGTCAAACTATTGGAACTTCTTTATAAATAGACATGTAACTTTGTAAGTATTTAACATTGTAAATATTTTTTCTTTCATAAAATACTGATATTAACAAAAACTGTGTTCTCCTGAAAAAGATATTTCGAGATCCGTTAATAAAAAACTTCATTCGTTTTCAATTCGAATTTTCTTTTCCCCATTATAAAATCTCTTCACACAAAATATTTTTCAAGCTTAATAATATAAAACATGCTTTTACCCCTCATACACTTAGAATGGTTTCAGATATTCGAAATATAGAAATTAGAGTTGGGAGACACAAATAGAAATTACATTCACACACTATGTAACTCGTACGGAGAAAATTAGTTTACAAATTCACTATTTATGTAAAACATGACAATCTTTATTGATCTAATATTTACAAGATTAAATCTATCTAAAATTACATATTATCTAATAAACCTAATCCACGCGGCATGGTGCCAAGAACGCTAGCTGCATTTCCTCGTTGAATAGTTATGCTCAACCTTTGCGCGAGAAAAGAACCAGCTCTCTTGTCACCAGCCGCGGCGTTAAGCCTAGGACATAAACTTTTAAAAAAATTTGATGTGCGGGGACCCCACGGACCTAATGTTTCAACAGCAAATGGCACAAATACATAATCTGAACATAAAGACTCATATTTGCGCCATTTACTTACTTCAGCTGCCTCCGATGCCGCCCCGGCCCTGACCGAATTACCCCTAAGATGAGAGGCAGCCAAAGTGTCTACACAAGTGGCGTCCCAAACAAGGGCTTTGCCTCTCTCCCAAGGGATCAATGTTAAACCGTCGGGTCTCTTACCATCGTCGCGTAAAATGCCACAGGGCTCTAAAATAGATGGAACATTGATGGAAACAAGAGCCCTACGGATGATGTCGTTCAGGGAACCGTGGCGAGAAAAACGGCCAGCACTTTTTTGACAAGAAAGCCCGTGGAGACCAAATTTGTCTACACTGACACCACAAGGGCATTGGTGTGGTTGACAAATCGGTGCCCCCAGACGGATTCCTACAGCAATGCGTAAGCTTTCATCGTCAAGTAATGTGCCCAAGTTACTTATTGGTAAAGCGTGAAGCCAATAACTCGATTCTTTAGATGAGACTCCTACGAAACGGGCACGCTCTAAATTACTTTCTAAAGATTGAAACGTATCTCTCTGTACTCTCCGCACCAAAGGAACATCCCACTGTTTTTGTAGGTTTACTTCCAGTGGGATATTTTCGTTGGGACAGATAGACAGCCAAGACATCCTTGCCTCCTCTGCATAGGAAAGTTCTGAATCGTGATTAAGGATGTTATTACATAAATTATTTACGCTATGCACGGAAGCAAGGAAGGCAGGTAGAGCGACACTAGAAATTTTCCTTACACCGATACCACCAAAACGAATTGGCAAACTGTTTTATGTTCCAATATATGTAGAAAAAATATTCTTGCCTACTTTACATAATTCGTGATAAAGAAAATAATTTTTCAATCGACTTCAAAAAAAGGAGGGGGGTTCTCAAATTGGATAAAATGTTATTTATGAACCAGTTTTGATGTTTTTCTGCATCGGGTTGGTTTATCTGGAAGATATATTAGTTTCATTTTCATTGAACCATTGACTCCGGAGATACACCAGGGAACTCCTGAAAATGTATAGCGAGTGAGATATTTGACGTCGGTTTTTTAAGTTATTTTCGAGTTCGGATTCTTTATCCATTTCCGACATTTTAATATCAATCATATATTGATTTTATATGTAGCATTGACAGAAGTATTCTCCATTGTGTTAAGGCCATGCAATCTAGCAGCTTGTGCTATTGCAAGAATCGATGTCGTCTGGTAAAACACAAAGGCCTCATAGAAGACCGTTGTCTACTGAAAGTATTATACTTTCAGACGCAGTGTCCTACTTGCGTCGGAGTGAGGTCCGCACTGAAAAATAGTGTTAGGATCAGAACAATTTCAGTTTCTGTATCTCGATTTTCACTGAATACCGTCCATTTCGAGTTGAGTCGAGAGATGAGTTCAACTCGCACTCGGTTTTTTGTTATGTTTACGTTTAAATTTGTGCAATATTATTTTATATTCTGTGTAATTTCATTATTTTCTAAGTTTTTATCTATCTATTGTGGTTAGACGGTAAATAAACGTTTCTTTCTTTCTTTCGTCTGGTGAGTGAAGTAAACGGGCCCACTTTTAAAAAGGTTATCAGTGCATCTACGCGTCCTTAGGTGTTGCAGATGTCCATTGGTGGCGGTAATCACTTAGCATCAGGTAAACAACCTGCTCGCTTGACAACATTTCATATAAAACTTAATGTTAGATAAACTACTATTATCATTAATGTATAGCTTATGTTGAAGACAATACAAGTATTATTTTAGACAGTGTAAGCAGACTCAATATGCAGCTACCGAAACACATGAAGATAGCGGCGGGGTCGGCCGGTGCTGCCATATTTGGCCTACTTTTTGGTTGGGTTATATTTCCCGCTATTCTAAAGAGGCAGTTGAGGAAGGTAAGCATTTTTTTTTTACTTATGCAGCTTTTGCATGGCGACATCTCTCGTTCGAGTTATTGTTGTAAAACGATATTCGAAATTATTTGTATGCTGGAAAGGATATAACAATGCGCCAAGCATTGCTTCAAATGCTAAAAAACAATGTAGATAAAAGACGTTAAGATTTTCGTCGGTGTGGCAATCAGCCGTTTAGCTTAGTGGCTAAAGCGTCAGGCCGCGAATGCCGAAGACGGGGGTTCGATTCCCACGGCGCGGGCGGTGACAATCTTTTCGCAATTTTTCTACAAGTTTTAATGTTTAATCTTAAGTGCAGAGATTAGTACTATAAAAAACTTTAAACAACTACATCATGTCGCTGCCAGTGCGCGCGCACATCGTAAAAATTCTCATCTGATAAATCTTACCAAACACCCCAAAAGGAGCATAACTTCAAAAAACAACGATAAACCTGTGGAACATAAACAGAGTAAAAAAAAACTCCTCTATAGTCTATTTTAACTATTTATTGTTTTTTGGATTACTTCATAACTCTATCAGCATCTTAAGAATTCTCGATGGAGACATAAATGCGTAGTTAGAGCAACATGTGAAACCATTTCAATTTGTAAAATGGTTCCAGCTAAGCGTAAAATTTTGCACATAATTGTGAGATTCCCGCGAATTGACTCTTCTATTATATTCACATAATAAAAATAGTCTTCTTGTTAGATATTTGCGTTTGTAGAGTTATTTCTAATAATCGCAATTTTAAATTTATGTTGATGCTGAAATCATGTCTAAAATTCTTATTATTAAGTCACTAATAAAATATTTAGTCTAAAGCTGTAAGTATGATGATTACTTACTATATATTATGTTGATATTTTATTACAGATAAATTAACATCTAAATCTAAAAAAACTATTTAAATGAATATTTTATATCCGGCTAATAACTCCAAAGCCATATTAAAACGAAATTGAAATGCAATACAGAATAACTGTTTAAGCATCCATTCGTGTACAAGTAGGTAATTACGGCTTCGCATTGAGAAATGGAGGGAATAATTAAAACGAATTGAGTCAATAACAGTTGCTCAGTTGACTTAATTGAACATGGCAGTACACTCCCCGCTTTGCGTTTACTCTACGGGTGCAAAAAAACGGGCAAGTGCGAGACGGCGGATTCGCGCACGAAGGGTTCCGTACCATCCTTACTAATATTATAAAGGTGAAAGATTGTATAGATAGATGTTTATTACTCTTACACGCAAATACTACTGAATGGATTTTAATGAAACTGCAATAATGTAGCTTATACATCAGGATAATACAAAAACTATAATTTATATACATATTTTTATGTACAATCTGTCTTTCTGTCTGAATGTTACGTATTCAACCTATTTTACGCAGACGTAGTCGAAGGCAGCAGCTAGTTATCTATAATAACGGCAAAAATATCATGTCTGTGGTATCGGAGCCCCCACTTAGATATTTTTTTATTTAGTCATTTAGTATTTGTCATTATAGCGGCAACAGAAATACATCATCGGTGAAAATTTCAACGGTCTAACTCTCACGGTTCCTGGGATACAGCTGTGACAGGCGGACAGACGGACAGACAGACAGACAGAGAGGACGGAGTCTTAGTAATAGGGTCCCGTTTTACCCTTTGGGTACGGAACCCTAAAAATGGCGCACACGATTGGGGGGAACAAATATTATTTTCAATCAGTAATGTGAATTGTATAGTATTGAATTAGTCTTAGTTTACTTTGCTTTATTATCTCGTCAAGTAAAAGCATAGCTGTTAAAATTTATGAAAACACGTTTATGCTACGTCAATTAATATAAAATTTTACATATAAAATGTTAGAGATAACCACGGTTAGGGTTTGCCTTGTGTGATTGTTATGTTTTAATTTTCACTATTTTTAAATCATATTACAATTTAACGAATACAAAAGTAAAAGAAATGTAACGAATACAAATGTAATGTATTTAGAGAAGCTGGCAGATGTTACCTTTTTTTTCACATCCAGTTTTTTCTGTTTAGGCATTTGCTAACATTTTTCTTAAGTACGTCTAAATACATTGACCGATTCAATAAAAGGGTGACGCTTTGTTCGTGTGGACAGCATTCAAAGTTGATTATGCTATTCAAACTGTACCGTTTCTGCGTCATCATATTTTTGAAATACTTTTTGGTGAATTTTTTTTGAAGATAACCTTCTTTTCCTCGCACGCTGCACAAAAATTCAATCTTGCTGTACCTTGAAAAACTATATCGCAAATTTAAATTAAACTAGTTTTGATGATTTAGATTTTTTTTATAATTTGTTTATAAACAAAATAATTGACGACAAAATAATTTGTTTATAAACAAAATAATCGACGGTAGCCAGGGTTAACTATGACATCAAGACGTATAACAACTTACGCCCGTTTTCTGAAACACTGAACATCGTAGATGTCAACTAATCTGCTGTCAAATGGATTTTCAAATGTCATTTGAGTGGCCAAAGGGATGGTTAAACTCTTTGAATTGATCATTCTGATCATTAAGAAGATCATTCAGGACAATTCAGAGAGTTTAACCATCCTTTTGGCAAGTAAAATGAAATGTGAAAAGCCAATTATTTGACATCTACGATGATCAGTGTTTCAGAAACCGGGCGTTAGTCTGTCCCGTGACTATGAACGCTGGAAAGGGTTCGAAACGTTAGGAGTTTAAATTAAAATAAAAAACGCGAAATCCGTAAACTAGTTTCATTTATTATGTATAATATTCGCGTAAAATCAAGAAAACAATATATATTGCAAATTGTTATTAATATGAATGTCATCCTAATGTTAAATTAAACCAGGCATAACCTTACTACGTACTTGTTTTTTGAAGTTATTATACTTTTGGCGCATTTGGAAATAAATATGAAAGAAAAATTTTTATAATTCGCGCGCACACCGACGGCCAAAAATCGACATGCAAACAATCATGTTTAATAATATTATAGGTCATACGTCGTCTATATAGATGACGTATATCCATACTGCGCGGCGTTTAACAATTGATCCGTTTTACGTTATATGCCATATATAAGTGAATGTGACAGATGATATAGAACCTATGATTCGGAAAGAGATAGCAGTCTATAGAATTACACCAATTGTGGTAATTTGAGCGCCACAATTTTGGTGCACTAGTGTCAAATCTCTGTATATAATATCATTGCATGCAAAGCGACCAACTTCGACTAACGTCACGATATTGCCATGGCAACCAATAACAACTTATTTACATTTACGTATAATTCCAAGTGATTAAATTAAACCGTTATCATTTATATGTTATGTTATTCCGTAACTTTTCAGCGAGGAAATACAGCTAGCGTTCTTGGCATCATGCTGCAGGTTTATTAGATAATAATAGGTACTTACTTAACAATAAATTACGCCAAAGAATTATAACTTACAAAAAAAATATAACAGTAAAAAAAATATACTGAACATTGACAATATTAATATTTTATAACATTATTATTGGCAGTTAAGTAAAGTATTATTATTTGTCTGAATTTAGATATATTGTTGTCTAAAATATCATCTCTGTTTCCTTCATTAATGTATTGAGCTTTTTGGCAGTTGGGAGAATCTAGGTCGTCGTCGATGGTGCATGCTCTGATCCTAAATTTGTCAATGCTGGTGATCCACAAGGCTGCGTACTGTTTCCTACTCTGTTTCTTCTTCATATCAATGACATGTAACAGCAAACCAGCAACGTTCATTGCTATGCAGACGATACCACTGTGGATGTCTCGGCGCCGAGTTAACATTTCTCGGGAAAATGTCTATGAGAGCCGGAACAAGCTTGTGTCTGAAGTCGAGATTTTGTTAATCAAAGTCTCAGACTGGGGTCAACTAAACCTAGTCCTATTCAACCCCAAAAAGGCAAGAATTTGCGCGTTAAATGCTAAAAAGTTCCCGTTTGTCGTAACTCCTCATTTCGAGAACACTCCCCTGTCTGCCACAGCTAATATCGGAATACTTGGCGTTGAAGTCTCGAGCAACGTTCAGTTCCGCGGTCATTTGGAAGGTAAGGCCAAATTGGTCTCAAAGATGCTTGGTGTGCTCAGAGAGGCGAGACAAGACTTCACGTCGGCTCAACGCCTAAACCTTTATAAGGCGCAAATTCGGTCCCACGTGGAGTACTGTTTTCATCTCTGGGCGGGAGACCCCTATTACCAGCTTCATCCATTTGACCGCATTCAACGTAGGACAGCTTTGTCGACGATCAAAGCCTTTGCGATCGGCTTGATCCTTTGGCTCTGCGTAGAGATATTGGATCACTCTGCACCTTCTATAGCATTTATAACGGGGAGTGTTTCGAGGAATTGTTTGAATTGACCCCGGCGGCTGAATTTCACAATTGGACAACGCGTGAAAATCAAAAATGTTATCCACACCACCTCGATGTCCAGCGTTCTAGAACAGCGCGATTTTCAAGGCAATTCCTGCCTCGCACAACCACTCTGTGGAACCAGCTGTCACCGGCGGTCTTTCCGTACCGTTACGAGCTGGGAACCTTCAAGAAGAGAGCATATCTTTCCTAAAAGGCCGTACGTAAAAGGACGCATTTGTGAGCCCTCGGATGTTTATGGGCGGCGGTAATCTTACCATCAGATGAGCCTACTGCTAGTTTTCCCCTTTATTCCATAAAAGAAATTTAAAAAACTTAAAAAAAACATTGATGGATATAATTAATTTATTAATAGGAGCATTGTATCCTAGCTTGGACCTAGTGGCATTGCAGAGAAATAACGTCCTATGTTAAATCAATCAAAATAATAGTGCAAATGTACTACGTTAAATCTGAGAAAAGTTTTAAATTACTCGGTACGTGTATGGCTCTATGATCATTTCAATAAGGGTTATTTTGGATTGTAAAGACTAGGAGATGGAAACAAGATACGTTTTATTTATATTCTACAAGCATGTTAGAACTTACTCCAAGTTGGCTGTAATTAAAGTTTACTATATATCAGAATAAACATGTAACCCTCTGAAGGTACCTTTAACATAACTTAGTTTTCAACACCCTAAGGGCTATTGGTTCAATTCGAGAGTGGAGTACTAGTAAGGTCTTATTTAAAAAGACATAAATTTTATATACAGAGACTTTTTCGATACAAAACATAACTAAACGATAGCGAATATAACCTTTACAATTAGACATGTTTCCTTTATAAACTGACAATTCCAGGTCATAATTATAGAATGTTTATACTGTCTTAGATTCTATTGAACACCTAGGAATTTGAAAAAGTTTCAGATAGTAGATAGTGAATGTGAAGTGGTAATGTGATTTTTGTAGATAAATTGTCGAAAATTCTTCAGCGCTGCGGGATTCCAACCTGTGTCTGCGATCTTTCTTTCTATCATTTTACTAATGCTAAATGCCATCTAATGTGTATACAGAATATCCACACTTTTAAATAAAATTTATACTATAAATATGTAAACAAGAGATGCTAAAAACCATACATATTTTATCAAGCTAGAATTACAACTTTCATTTTCACTCATGTTGTGAAAGTATAACTAATAAAAGATCCAATTAAGCGAACGCTAAAGTAAAAAATATAAAACCTTGTTCATAGAAAAAAAAAACATTACACCGATCTAACATTTCTTATGGTCGGAAACAGGTATTTTTCCATATAAGTAAATACGAGTAAGTACTCGATACTTTTGTTTCGATACCAAGTACTTTTAGCATCGAATCAATCTTACGATACTTACTCGTTTCCAAAGGAAAGTAACTGTAATCGATACTAAACAAACTGAAAGAAATGAATGTTCTTTTACAATTTCTGAACGCGTCATAGTTTGGTATTGTCGCTTGACCTTATTTGAACATTTAGTTCTAAAGCAATACCAACTCAAATGAAATCAGCAGAAGTTCAGTGGCAATGCCGTAACACCAAAATTAGTTTTCAAGTTACCAGGTTGGTATCATTGCTTACAAGTTCATTGTTTGCTTATCGAAAAAAGAAAACAATATTCTGAACCACATATGGTTGAAAAATAAAAACATCTGGAACTTTTCAAATGTTCGGAACTTTTCTGCTAAACTCATTGGACTTGGTATTGCTTTAGAACTGAATGCTTCAATAAGGTTCCTATTTGAAAAATAAATTGAGTGACAACCCGCTTTAAACGTAATGAAACATCTATGGTATTATCTTATTATACTTCGATAAAACAAATCTTAAAAGTATCGATATAAGTGTCGATACATTATGAGTACAATTATATGAGTAGTATCGAAAAATGATTTCAGTAGGTACTACTTATATGAGTAGGTATCACTACCCGTGGGCATCGGAACATTCCTAGCCGTAAAGAGCTCGTAATAGAAAGGCACTGATCGTCCTTTGGGTTAAGTCTGATTCGCTGAGTTCATTATAACAAAAACACTTATTCCGAACAACTTTCTATGTTATTTTCTTGACTACACTCGCAACGGTAATGATAAATTTTCATTTATTTATACATTGTTTTACATTTACATTTTTTCATGAATATTTACAAGGCTATAAGCAAACTTAAATAACATTCAAATGATGCACTAATACAAAATATATACTAGAACAATGAAACTAAAATTTAAAACTTTAAAAAATATAATAACTAAAATATATTATTAATAGGATTCCCTTTAGGCAAGGTTCCAAAGATACTGGTAGCGTTCCCCCTTTGAATAGCTTGACTAAATCTTTGTCCGAGGTAGCTGCCAGCTCTTCGGTCTCCTGTGATGTCGATTAACCTTTTTGCTATTTCCTAAAATACAGCGCTAGGACTCCACGGACCAAGGGTCTCGACACTGAATCGGATAAAATCATATTCGAAGCCTATATTTGCAAGCTTTAGCTTTTTCAGCCGCTTCACAAACCGCACCAGCTCTGCTGTTGGTTCCATGTAGACAGGAAGGGGCCAGCGTTTCTGAACAGGTTGCATCCCATAACAGGTCCATCTTCCATGTAATCAAACTCATACCGTCCGGTCTCTTGCCATCATCTCTTGCAATACCAGTCGGCTCAAGTAGACTTAGCACGTTGACGGTGGCAAGGGACCGGCGTATGATATCGTTAAGAATATTTACATGTACCATATGCATTTCATTGCCATAAAACTTAATAATTGTTTTTAAAATATCCGCCTGATTGTAATTTTTAAATAATTCCTCATATACATTTAACTTCCATAAACTTAACATTTATTGTTAAAATCTCTGACGTATTTAAATAATTCGATAAATTTCAATGATTCAATTAAATTACAAGCAGCCGAATCTCAAAAGTCGCTGAAAATGCCGCCTAAAATGTGTCGATTTTAATGATTTTCAAAACTTCTTTAGGAAATGGCACTATCGCCGAAGACGGATGTGCGAAAGATGTGGCAGAAAATCCCGTTTCCGTTGGACTTCAAGATATACCTGTTCAACTATACTAACGCCGAGGAAGTACAGAAGGGTGGAATACCAATTGTCAAGGAAGTCGGACCTTATTACTTCGAGTAAGAGACATAATTAACTCTTGCTCTGCACTTGAAACTCCCATGGCTGCTGCTGATTTTATACCTAAATAATTTGACATACTTATATCATTAAAAAAATATAGCAAAACCGCTGGATTTCTTGCCGATTCCTCTCTGGATAGGTCTAATTTAGTGAGAGTGGTGGTAGTTTCATGACGTTCAATTATAGTTTAAAATAAACCTATTTAAATATTGACAGACTACCAGGGAGCACGATCCTGAGCATACCATGACGTAGTGGCTTTTATAACAAATTTAATATCACGGAGATGGTTCATGTACTACGAATAATTTTACTTGTAATCTTATACATATTTAGGTGTAACTATCACTTATTTATATTGAAATTTAAAGTTTAATTGCAATTTGAACCTAACTTGAGGATACTGAAAATAACCAAAAGATATACCTTTGTCATTCGATACGACATTAAGGTATATTATTATTTAAACTTTTGGTGTAATGTTGTTTCATGGATTCGTAATGTTATTACTTTTATTAGTTACTGTTATTGATATTACGATTTATAATAGAATAGGTTCCATGTTTTTTCTACTTTATCTATTTTCTTCTTTGTGTTATACGCGCTCGATTTTTGATTGTTAGTAATCATCTTTGGCCGTCACTTATTACCACCAATAAAGTTAATAAAAGGCCTTCGAACTGTCTTATCATTATTTACACGAGGCATTCATTACAGTCCTATTATTAGTTAAATGATATTGCTGAACAACGAATACGTTTGAATTAAAGGAAATTGGTTCTTGTAACCCGGTCTTATCTGTAATGACAATGTACGTTCTTACGTTAGCCATTTTTTATGAAAACTTTTTTTTATAAATTATTTGTCGAATTTCTTTCGATTTTAAAATAATCGTTTGTCAAGTAAAGTAATAATGAAGTTCAAAATTTGTAGAAAAAAATAAAAAAAATTTTCAGCCTTTTCGTCCTTTTTTCTACAAATTTTAATGTTTCCTCTAAAGTGCAGAGAGTAGCTAAAAAATAAGACTAAAAAAATTTAAATTTAATAGTCAACTTTTTATTCTCAGTGAATTTGGGTTTTCTGACTAAGTTAAAGCTTATATAATTATAATGGCTTATCATATTTAATTTACAACCTGGGACGTTTTAATTAAACGTGAGAATAAAAGTAGGTTAAAAATACCTGATCTAAATTCACTTCCTATGACGTCCCTGTATAATAAACAATTGTATACCGTAGCAATCTCGTTTCACTGCGCCATTGAGTGCCGTCAAACGGCATTAGAGCGATTTCATCGCCGACCTGCCTTTATGAAAAAAATAAATTTGGAATTCCACCGTTTTCCGTAACGCCAAATTTTCGGGAACTTTATTCATCAAATCGTTTTTACGATCGCATTCAGCTTTATTTTGATGCACGCACATGTGTACGGCATATCCTTTTTCCAGCTATTTACGTGGTACTTATGATATTTCACCTTTTTAACAGGTTTAATAAAAACAACTGTGAAACGATATTTCCTACTTAATAATTTTTCCTCTGTTTAATTATTATTTGCATCTTGAGTGTTCATCACGCGTCTACCATTTTAAAGATTAATTGGTTACGATATATTGAAAAATTTATAAAGATTAATACAATCATTGATTAGTATAAAATATCGTGATTCATATAAAACACGCTTTCATTGAGTACTAATACTGGATTTTCTTGTATGCTTTGAAATCATAGCATTTTAAATTTCCTTCAAACTTTTCGCCCAACGTTTGAGAGACAGCATCGGTTCTGATGCATTTATTATTGAAGACAATCGATGGAAAAATACAGCGTACATTTTTCAATAAATCACAAGAGTGGATACAAAGGATATGAGTTATTTTTGATATAACTGTTGGAGTGTCTTTACTGCTGATGGAACTTCTGAACGACTTCACTGATTGAGATCATATTCCCACTATATTTTGTTCGAGACGACGGTTGGTTATATTTATTAGTTAATAACACAAACATAAGCTTCAAGTCTTCATCATAAAATGTTTAGTGCTTAGCTACTACTACGCACTGGTGGATATACCAGTAGAGGTATAAACGTATTGTTAAACGCCTATTCAATATGGCCCAGAATAATCGGTGTGTTTTTAGATCTTATTTCACTGCGTACATTTGATTTTGAAAAAATGGATTAAATGCTCAGGTGGAAATTAATTCCCGTTAAGAATTTTTGAATAAAGGATTCCATTAAATTTGTAGAAAAATAGGCTAAGTGAGAAAGGTTCCGTACCATTATCTATAAAAAACGGCAAAAAATCATGTCTGTTGTACGGCAGCCCGACTTATATATTTATTTTATTCTGTTTTTTAGTATTTTTTGTTAAAGCGGCAACAGAGATACATCATCTGTGAAAATTCAAACCACCTAACTATCACGTTTCATGAGATACAGCCAGGTGACAGGCGGACAGACGGACAGACAGACAGAGAGTGGAGTTTTAGAAATAGGGTCCCGTTTTAACCTTTGGGTACGGAACCCTAAAAATGGACTAAAAGTTTTTCCCCGCTGCGGTAATATGGTTTCGATTCCGGAAGACGTTTATTCGATTCCCGCATCGGTGAAATTGTCGTCCATTTTTTTCAATATTTTATTATTTAAACATTAATATATTACATTAATATTTTAATGTTTCATCTTAAGTGCAGAGATAAGCAATATAAAAATTTTAATTTTATAGGATTTTTGCTTAAACAATAGTGGATTTTCACAGATTCTTCCGTGCCGTTTTAATCTCTTTTTTCGTGCATGCCGAATACGTTATTACCGGCTAAATTTCTAGTTTCTAACCCCGACCCTGCCTTAGGTCCTCTATGGTTCCCCATTTATTCATGTTGTATGTATATTTACTGCTTTTAATTCTTTACATTTTATTTTAAGTCCGTCGGCCAAACACAACTCAGACCTATACTGTAATAAGTTATTGAAGATTGCTTATATTTTAAATCAAAAATATTAAATAGTCTGTTAGGCTTGTGTGCCGCTACGATTGATGCCTGTGTTATGATACAAGATATTGTGTCTGACTAGATTGACAGTTTCCATGATAATAATAGTCGACAAAAACTAAGCTTTATGCCCATCAGAATCTTGTCTCGTATCACTTTCGATATGTTTGTTTTAATTCCGTCTCCTATGATGCTGGTTATTATAATTTGTAATTATTCACTTCCCAATTCAAAGATATTTGAAACTGTCAATCCTTAGCTGACTGTTTCGTAGCTAATCGTTTGTTTAATGGATCTTTGGACCACAGTAGAAAATATACGAATGTATGTATGTTGAGGCTAAAATTTATTCTCTCAATAATTCAGAGAATGGAAAGAGAAAGTGGAAATGGAAGATCACGATGACACTGACACCATAACCTATAAGAGAATGGATAAATTTTACTTCAAGAAAGAACTTTCTGGATCCGGACTTACTGGTGAAGAAACTATCGTGATGCCTGACCCTTTTATAATGGTAATAATATTATTATTATTAGTACAGAAATAATAAAAATCCGTAATTCCTTTCTACAGAATTTAATTTTCGGCAATCTTTAGATAATCCTTTCGGCTTTATTTACGGAAGCTAAATATAACACTAAAGATGACAGACTCATGGTTTTAAGTTTCAATCCTATTACATTTCATACGCTGTCATTTGAAATGGATTAACCAAAATCAACATGATCCAAAGTTAACATTCTCTTCTACTCTACATTTCTATAATAAAGTAGCTTACAAAGAGCTTCAACTGCACTATTAGATCAAATGGGCGGAGGAAATTCCATGTCAACACGGTTCAGCTTATTTTGTGTTGTGGGTTTCCTTGTAACATGAAGTTTAACGACTTGTTCAATTACCAGTTCTTTGAAATAAGAAAATAGCTCAGCACATCCTATTTTTACATTTTGTTGAGTACCTACATTGTTAACGTTGTATGTGCCAAAGAACATTGTTGTGTCGTAGATTTGATTTCCACACACAAATACTTGTGTACTTGTGCGGCACACAAATAATTTTTCCGGGTTTGGGTGTTTATTTCCGAGGAGAACTGATGCCAAGCGGTGGTTGGTCAAAAAAACTTGTCTAAGTTTTATGCCATTAACAACATGTCGTGTCGTGACACCATTGACATGTCGTGTCTTTGGTGGGTTAAGGGCAGCAGAAGGAAGAAGACATGATTGAAATATTCCGTAAGTTCTTTAAAAATAAATCAACATCATTTATTTTTAAAAAACTAACGGACATAATTTCATTTCCAATAAATGCATTGGTGTTAACATTGATATATAACTGACCTTTTAATTTTAATTTTACCATATTTGTTAATATTTTCAGAGCATGATAAATGTAGTCTATCGAGATAAGCCGGCAATGCTAAATATGATGGGGAAAGCTTTCAACGGTATATTTGATAATCCGAAAGACATTTTCATACGTACGAAGGCAATGGATCTGATGTTCAGAGGCGTCGTTATAAACTGTGCAAGAACTGAATTCGCCCCAAAGGCTGTTTGCACGGCGTTAAAGAAAGAAGCAGCGAACTCCCTCATATTCCTACCAAACAATCAATATTTGTTTTCTTTATTTGCTCTGGTATGACTGGTATTCTTAATTTTTAACTATTTATTGGATAGGCACTAATAAGCCTTGTATATTTTTTGTTAGAAGGTGGCAATCGACTAGTAAGTGATAACCACAGGCAGAATTTGTCACGCATATCTGGTATATTTATTATTTACTAATTAACCATCATAAAATAAACTTATAGTCCGGTTCAATAGATAAACGCAAAAGACAAACAAACGTAAGTCATAAATATATGAGAACAGCTATTATAATTCGTCGAAAGTACAGTAGTTTACTATTGTCATGTCCTCAGCCTAGTCGATTCCCAAGTACTACTGGCAAAATAACTGACATATCAGTGGAGCCATAGTAGGAAAAAAAATTAATCGAAATAGAAAACTCAGAAATAAATGCATAGCTAAATAATAGGTCGGTATATGACTGTTACAAGTAACAGAAAAAATATATCCCAAATATCGTCGACGAAACATACAAATACAGATAGTACAAAGCTGCATCGTACACTACAAAATGGTAGCAAAAAATGAAAAAATTAACTGATGTGAGCAACAAACATCCGAACAAGAATCTCCATGAGTTATATACATAACCTGTTGTAGGTAATCGTTACATTGATTTGTCACTGCGTAACTTTGATACCTGAAAGGTGCATATTGCTATCGAGCTATTTCTTAGTATATCTTTCTGTATAGCTCACGTATAAATCGATTCATATTAGGCGAATTGAAATGTAGAAAAAAAATAAAGAAAGAGAAAAAGAAAATGCCTTTGGGCATTAAGTCAGCCCTTTGCTATCTTGTTTCATTTAAGGTTGGCAAAAAATATTAAATAAATAAATAAAAGGGGAAGAATAATTAAAAAAAATAATAAAAATAATCTTTTAGATTGTTAAGTAATGAAATAATATCTACCCACAGCGTAATGGTACAGTCGACAGGCACACTGTAACCGTCATGAGAGGTATGACGAATGTCATGGACGTTGGCAGAGTGATCGAAGTAGACGGCCTGCCAAAAATGGACAAATTCAGAGATACTTGCAACGAATACGAAGGCACTGACGGCACAGTTTTCCCGCCGTTTCTGACAAAGAACGATCGCCTGATGTCGTATTCTATAGATCTATGCAGGTTCGCGACATTGTTCAAAATGTTATGTTATGTTAATGTTGTAATATATATAACGCATGGCCATACTGCGCAGCGTTTCAAAATTGTTCCGTTTTACTTTGTGTGACATATATAAGTGAATGTCACAGATGAAAGAGATGGCAGTCTAAAAATTTTAATGTAATTACACAAATTGTGGTTACTTGTGCCTCGATTTCGGTGCGCTAGTGTCATATTTTTGTTTATAATATCATTGTGTTTTCTTAAATCTATGCCAATATCAGTAACTAAAAATTTGTTATGATATTTCCAGATTTCTATCTTGAACAAGAATAAATTGACTTTTGAATAAATTCAAAACTTTAAGAGTATAACTTTTATCAATTTAAATAAATTAGTTTTAAGGATAATCAAAATTTTTGTTCTCTTCAATTGTTCCCAAACACATTTTGATTTCCCTCTATTTTTTTTTTCAATATGATAAACGATGATACATCAGAGATGCTTCCCTTACAGATCTTTCAAGCCCCGGTATCAGAAACCTACTTCTTACAGTGGGATCAAGACAAATCGGTACGTCGCGAATATTGGAGACTATGCCAATGACCCGGAACTGCAATGCTTCTGTGACACGCCGGACACGTGCCCGCCACGAGGTCTGATGGACCTCATGAAGTGCGTAGGCGCCCCGATGTACGTTTCGTTGCCACATTTCCTGGACTGTGACCCTAAATTACTGGATGGTGTGAGGGGTCTGAACCCGGACGTCAACGAACACGAGATTCAGATAGATTTCGAACCGGTTGGTATCTTACATACAAATAATTACTTTTATTTTTTATGTGAAAAGCTACCAAACGAGCAGACGGTTCACCCGATGTTAAGTGAATACCGGCGCCCATGGACATCTGCTTCACCCGAGGGCTACAGATGCGTTGACAACCTTTTGAAAATTGGGATCCGGCTACCTCACTCACCAGACGAAACGCGAAAGTATTTGCCATACTTCCACTTAACGCTGGTCTTCTGTGAGGTCGTGGTACTTACCCGGACGGGCCTGCCCATTCGTGCAACAGCCGAGGCTGCTGCGTGGCCCTACCACCGACGATTTAAGCAATATCATTTATGATGAATTAAGCATTATCATTCAAATAACATGTTATATACAAAAAAATATTCAGCGAGCGACCGTCAGATAATATTAATATGTAAATAACTTTTTATGGTCAAACCAAATAATTTGGTAAAGAAAATGTCTATTATCAAATATTTTATTTCAATTTAATGCATATTGTAATATTTATCAGTTTCATCTCATGGTAAAAAAACTTGTGTTGATGTTTTTAAGTCATAAAAATTAAAATCATAATGAAAGCTATGACTTTAATACGAAATTTTTCATCGAGTTTCTAATAAGAGGATCTGATTTCATGTAAATACAAAGATATTTTCGTCGCGAGTGTCAGTCTGATACGTGAAATATGTTCACATCCTTTGCCTACACCTGTGTAATATGGATATTTGATTATTTGTTTATAGTTAATTGCTTTTATGAATTATCCCAGATAACAGGTACACCCTTAGTCGCACGGCAAAGGGTCCAATTCAACATTAAACTGATCAAAACTGAGAAGCTGGAACTTTGCAAAGATTTGCCAGATACCATTGCGCCACTGTTCTGGCTGGAGGAGGTAAAACAAACTTTCATACTAAAATGACAAAAACAAAATAAAATTAGTAGTAAATTAACTAAAAACTAGTAACAATTTAATTCATTTAGTGGTGATTAATTATACGCAGGAAAATAAACGGCTTTGAAGTCCATTTTTAAAACGGTAATTAACTTTTTTTATTTTTTATGTCAAAAGTTGCCAAGCGAGCAGACGGTTCACCTGATGTTAAGTGAATACTGCCGCCCATGGACATCTATCTGCTACAGCCGAAGATTGCAGATGCGTTGACAACTCTTTGGAAATTGGGCTCCGGCCACCTCACTCACCAGACGAAACGCGAAAGTATTATACTTCCACTTTACTCCGGTCTTCCGTGAGGTCATGGTACTTACCCGGAAGAGCCTGCCCATTCGTGCAACAGCCGAGGCTGCTGCGTGGCCCTACCACCCAAAAACTGTAAGATAACATGTCACAAGACGACATCAACAGTTCACGAGTCGTTAACTATTATCAAAGACTAAAGACAATCAGTTCAATTGAGTAATGAAAAATCAAATGAATTCATTGTAAAAACCCATTTTCTCGTTTGTTGTAGGGCCTGGCGCTAAACAAGACATTCGTCAACATGCTAAAACACCAATTGTTTATCCCAAAACGTGTAGTATCCGTTCTACGATGGCTATTGCTGTCATTCGGATCCCTCAGCGCCATGTGCTGTGTTATCTTCCATTTCAAAGGTATCATCGAAGCTAGCCTACTTTTACTTAATCTGATGCCTTATTTTCTAAAAAAATATGTTTCTAGGAACAAAAGATATCTTGTATTTTAATGCAGGTACCTTCATCCCAAATTTCATCGAAAGCTAGTTAAATCAATATAGCATATTGTGTCAGCAAGGAAAGAAAACCAAGACACTTACTTATAACTTAGTCTATTTATGTCAGTTCAATGCATTAACCATAATTATACGTATCTTACTTATAAATACATGTTAGGACTAAATTGAATCTAAGAAAGTTAGTTTCAAACCAATTAAAACCAACACTAATTTAGACTTTTGTCAACTACAAGTACTTGATATAAAAATACAATAATGAATATTAAAATTGATATAAATAAACACGTTCATATTTTCTATTGTATGCTCCTAAGCAATGCTTCGATACCATACGATATATACTTTCAACCTAAAAACATGTTTTGAGAATAAAATGTTTATAAGAACCCTTTCCGCTCTGAAAAAATAATCCCCGTTCTAAACATAGATTCAAATACGTTTTAGGCATGGTTTCATTTCTCACAATAACATCACATTATCTGTAGAGCAACACGTTAAAGGAGCATCTATGATTTGCGATTTGAAAACAATAATTAACATGAAATAACAAATTTGCTCCGTACTCTCATGACTTTTCCAGTGAATAATGTAAAATAAATAATAAGGCAAACTGAGTGGGAGTAGTCCTACCAATGACGTATGTGGATTACGGTAGGCGCCATAACTTTCTCACTCACAATAAATAGACTAGACTAGAAAATGCCTAAAAAAAGTTAATAATAAAAATATAAAAAGTGGTCTTAAAAATCTCGCCGGAGTAAAAGGCGTCATATATATTCAAAAGTATTTCACGTGTCGATAGTTTAGTTTGATAACTAAAGACTGTAAACAGTTACAGAAAAAAAATTACAATGTATTTGTCACCGCAATAAATGAAGAAACTTATTATAATGAGAAAGAATATTAGCACCGTAGTCATAATACTGTACGACGTTATCTAATAGTGAATGAAACGCCTTCAATATCGTAATGGGATGCACATTGTTTTTCTGTTTTATGGGTTAAATTTTGAAGTCTACCTGATTTTCGTACAGTTTCATTTGGATTCAATAGCCTGTTGTCGTATCGATGACGATAACCTTCAATAACATTGCGATTTTTGTTTTTTTGTTGCAAGAGAAAATCATGCGTTTCGCTGTCTCATCTGACACGCCGTCAGCCAAGGTCAAGCCAGTGGAAATCGAGCAGAAGGATGTCAGCGTGATCGGGCAGGCCCAGGAGCCCGCCAAAGTCGAAATGTAATACACCACGACGGCTGCTACGATTCTCATTAATTTATAGCCGTCAATACGGACTTACATTTGGCATATGGAGGCGTCTATTCATTTCGGCTTCGAGACGTACACACGCTCAGTTGTAAGAGATATTAAATTGACATTGCTAAATTTATTCCAACGCTATATGTCTGTATGTTGTTCACTACTACACTTATTGACATTAAAGGTACTTGAAAGTCGATCAGCACTAAATCAAGTTGTAGTTCTAGATCTATGGTCGAATGTATCACAGCAGTGCAGAATACACCAGGATGAAAACTTCTCTTTAAATTTGGGCTACTGTTATTGTTACTGTTTCTTATACTAAATTATAAGACAATCTTTTTTTTGTACGTACATTGAAGTCTAACCACATTCAGATATGGGGAAACTAAAAAACCACGCAATCAATTCAAAAAGATTGTCTTATAATTATATTTTATCATGGAACGTAATATATGACTGACAGGTATACATAATTCGACTCAATATGCTTGAAAATAATTATTGATGTCATTAATATCTTTTTGTAACATGCATCTATTTTTTGATTATATCCAAAGAAAACTCGCAACCGATTCCGTCTCTCAACATTATTCCACTTTATTAACTCCTTATGTAACACCGATTTTGCACATTGTTATAAGCATATTATATTTCTTAATTTATAGATACTATTAAGTATTAATTTAAACAAACATCAAAGAAATATGTTCGCACAGATATACATTTCTAATAAACGACATAAGTAATTCAATATTTCCTCGAGTTTATTATTAGCACTGATAAAGTAACCTCTTGTTTTATTTCTTCTCTTTTTCACATCTACCTCAAAAATTAATTCAATAACTTCTCGATTGAGTTTTTAATTTTCCTCTGATTTATCTGCTAACTTCCCTTTATTTCTCTTTTTCTTGCCTTTAACTGTTGTTAAGCTTTTAATCAATAAAAGAACTTCTAATGTAATGTTCAACAACCGCAAACTTTCGGTGTGACCTTTCTTGGTATAGATACGCTAAATAAAATAATACGAATCAATACGCAGTACGTTTATACCAAAGAAATATAACAAAAATAATATAATATCAAATATTAAACCTTTATGCAAAGTAGAATAAATGATTCGATGGATTGTTGATTTTGATCGCAACTTCAAAATTTTATTTGTTTAGAACAAACTTTTTTACACAAACTGAAACTATTAAAATGTTGGTTTAGTTATTATGAATATCATAAATATTGAACATTGCATAATTAAAACTATTTTACTGAATTTGAACTGACTTCAAATAGGAGGAGGCTTTCAAATCGGTTGTGTTTGTTACCTCGGCACTCCGTCAACAAATTAAACTGGATAAGAACTTTTAAAGTTTTTTATAGTGCTAATCTCTGCACTTAAGATTGAACATTAAAACATGTAGAAAAAGTACGAAAAGATTGTCGTGATCGTTTTAATGTTCAATCTTAAGTGCAGAGATTAGCACTATAAAAAACTTTAAAATTCATAAAAAGCAATGGCGACATCTCTCGTTCGAACTATCGTTGTAAAACGATATTCGAAATTGTTTGTATGCTGGAAAGGATATAACAACAGATGCCGCCAAGCATTGCTTCAAACGTTAAATAACAATGTAGAAGGCGTTAAGGTTTTCGTCGCTGTGGCTATCAGCCGTTTAGCTCAGTGGCTAGAGCGTCAGGCCGCGAATGCCGAAGACGTGGGTTCGATTCCCACAGCGGCGACGATCTTTTCGTACTTTTCTACATGTTTTAATGGATAAGAACTGTAAAGTAGTTTTCTGTAACAATAAACTGACTTGGTTAAGGTTTTATTTTCGGTATAAAATATTCGACGAATTGACTATTAAAGTATCACTAGTCTGTAACGTCTATAACAGTAATAATACAATGTCAACTGGTCGAGACTTACAGAAGATTATACACAACAAAGGAATTTAATATTGTGCTTTACATCGTTTATCAGAAGAATTAAGACCTGTCTCTACACAAAGGACGCGAACACAGGGATGTGGCCAGAAATTTCACTAGAGTGAGATTTTCGTTTGATAAATGATATTAAGTATAAGCTTAGTACAGGAATAATCAAAACTGGTTCAATAAAGTACATTTTAGGGTTAAATGTGTAAGTTCATTTGACTCATTCGATCATTGTTTGTTTTTTGTTATTGATCGGTGAGTGATAAAAGCACAATAAAGTATCAATTTATTATGTCTCAATGCTGGACAAAAGCCTCCTCTGCACAGCCATAGAACATTGTCCATCACGCGACCTTAATACTGATTGGCAGACTTCACCTATTTTCGAAAATGGGAAAATTGAAAAAAAAAATGGAAATTAGCCTAACGATATTTTCCGTCAACAGTGACGTGAGTCACGATGAGTATGTGATAAGTCAGCATTTACCTAATTCCATCGGTGCCAGAACTTTTAGAATTTTGAACTCAGTTTACTCGAATATATTGGTTTAAAAGCAAGCGCCCAAACACTGGACTATCGGCTCTCATACATAATATATGAAAATCTAATGCACTTGTGTGTCTGTTACAATAACTAGTTACTATTTCAAGACAGCAACAAAACAGTCGTCGTCACATATTAACGAGAAAAAATATTGTACATATAACACGATATACGTCTAAACTTATCATGATATGTGATGTTATCTATGGTTGGAGCCCGATATATCTTCTCATGAATAATGCTACGCAAAAAAAGTCAGAAATAGAAATTAAATTGAATAAATTAAATTTATATATAAAAATATATCATGTTTTCATATAAATAAGCTCAGTGGTGAAATGCACATAGGCTGCCGAATTTTACAAATTTTATCTAATAAAAATGAAAAAAATAAACCTACTAGTACTAAACGCGGAAATATCATTTATTTTTAAGTTCATGGCAATCATAAAGTAAAAGGTTGCCTGGAAGAAATTACTCTTAGTAATAAGGCCGCCCATTGTACCCATCACTTCTACATTAAGTTTTAATTTTTGTTTGTTTTATTTTTGCTGTGCAATAAAGTATACTCATTCATTCATTCAAGGTTATTGACAGAAAAATAATGATAACACTTACAAACTCATCCCATTCCAATAATCAAAAATGTGAATACACAATCTGCTACCTCCGGTTTACGGTGAAACAGTTATTCCGATCTGTAGTACACAGAATTTTGACGATGGAATCAAATTACAATTTATTGTATTTATTTCCAACATCATGTCAATATAGACTCAGCAACGCAAAATCGATACGCTTTAATTGAACAAACATTTAAGTTAACCGGAACCAATTTCCAAATCAAATCTGGAACTTGTTTTAACGTATGTATGTACACATTATGCAAAATTTATACACGTTTGCTCAGTACCCTGCACTAGGTTATCAACCTGTCTCGCAGAGGTGATGCTCTCGATTATCTAGCCTAGGATCATTAAAATTAGGTAAGTAGTCATAAATATAATGACAATCGGAGTGTATGTGTGTGTATTAATAATTATAAGTGCATAATAGTGTTATTATGTATGCTGGTAATTCAATAATTGAGTTATTATTTTATTAATAATTGAATTATGTAGTCATGTAATATCATGTAATATAATATCTAATATATAATATATAATAATATCATGTATTATGTAAAAAAAGTGTTACACTTTACATTAGGACAAATATTTCGAGATCTTCCTTTTATTGCATTGCTGTAACAATCGATTTTGACGTTAATGTTCAACGAATTAACTCAGTAAATGGTTATTTACTCTTCCCTTGAAGATAACTATGTTATATTCAGATCCTGATATACATAGCGGCAGATTTATACAACTTAGCTACAATCAGAATGGAACGTCAACAACAGGGGAATGAAAACACCCGGAGCATGTGTTGCCTGTTCAATAGAGTTGAAGGAGAAATTTATGCGTCTTACTCCCACACCAAAATGAAAGGCACTCTTTGCCTGCTCTCGGGACAGTTTAAACCAGTTCCAATCAAAACAGGGTGTAGAAGTTATTATTTTCGGTTGATAAGTTGATGGCATGATTTTTTAAGGCCGCTAGTGTGATATCATGGAGGAATACCTAGCATATTTGAAACAATAAATTTTGCATATAACTGCAGTCTGCAACCATTTTAATCATTAATGCGGAGACATAAAACGTATTATTCTGGGATTGCGCACAATGAAAGTGTTGTTTTATTACGATAATACTCACTCACGTCTGTTGAATGCATTGCCAAAGTTCGTGATGTTATTTCAAATAACTGCCACATCCGCTGTAATCTCCCGACTTGGGACTATAAATGTGCCAGTGCAGGGCAAAGGCCTCCTCTGTACAGAGGGTATCAGGGCATAGTCCACCACGCGGCCCCACTGCGGATTGGCGGACTTCACATATTTTCGAAATATTTTTTTTGTTATTATTTTGAAAACATGCAGGTTTCCTCACGATGTTTTCCTTCACCGCCGAGCACGTGATAATTCAGCACCTAAAATTAATAATTTCATTGGTGCTGGCACCGGAGATCGAACTCAGGTTGCTCGAGTAAATTGAATTAAAGGCGAGCGCCCGGAAACTGAGCTATCACGGCTCTAACGGCCGGATCTTTATCCAAAACTAAAAAAAAATACTTTGATGTTTAAAAATATCTATCCTGTGAACCTGCGGTTCCTTTTTTGAAGACCTTGAAGTATTTCGTTTAATAAAACCAAAATTGATTCTATTTTGATGCTTATATCAGAAGTGTAAAGAAATTACGTAAGAATTATTTAGAAAAACCGAGCACTTTACTTGCATTAAATTCAAAATTTTACGTATCTCCCTTCTTACAAGTAGGAATGCCGACCGAGCTATTATAAGATTTTTTTTCACGGCGAAATTTACCGTTATAATAATAATATATTGACATTTTTCATTCCCTGAAAATCGGGATAAAAGGACATTTTCTAAAAATGAAACCTAGCTAACTAGTAGTAGTTATTAATAGATTTAACCTATAGAGATATTTTTAATATAAATTGAAGCTGCTTTAAATATTCATTTATTTATACTTTATTGAAATTACCTTAAACAAGGCCTACAAAGGGCGTTCTTAATGCCTTTTGCCTTTCTCTCCCATCCCGGGGCGCGTAGCTAAACCGAAATGACTCTATTTAAGTTGAAATTCAACTTTAAAATTAATATCAATTTGAAATTACTCTACCATCATTAAAACAATAGACGCGTAAAGTTATGAAATTACCTGAGTTTTCAAAACTGTTATTAATAGATGGAATAAGTGGAAATTATTATGGGTTTTTGTCAACAACTCATCAACTAGTTTCAAGTTATCTTTGGCAAATACAAAATAATCCAATAAATCATAATGTAATCGTTAAACAGAGGTTTCTAAAAATATACGTGCACGTAGCATTTATCGTAGTTAACCCTTCAACCTAAAAGTATGTAAATTCATGCAACAATTTTAAAATCTGGTAGATGTCGGAGCTCGATGGGCTGCATCATACATTCAAGAGGCGTTAATGTGTGACGATAGAAAAGCGAAACGGAAGACGTGCGAAGAGTAGGTGGCAAAGGTCTGCTGTAATTTAACAACCACAATAGTTCTTCAGACACCATCTGACTGACAAGTTTGTAATATTTTTATTGGATACAGTTGTACAACGCGCCGGGCGCGTTGGACAATCCCACGTATTTGTATTTTATCTTCCATTCTTTGTGATGTCAAATTCTTATTCTTTCTTATTCTTAAAGCTTTTCTTTCTTTCTTCAATAATAAGGGTATCCTTTTCCAAATTATAAAAAAGTGTTTGCAGAGTAATTAAATAGACTATTCAGTTAAAAATAATCATAAATTCAAAGCATTCAACTTATATTCTGTAACTTTGCTATTTTATTACTAACAGGCGTTAGCATTATATCACGAGGTACGAACGTACATCACTACATAGTATAAAACAAACTCGTCCTGCTGTCTGTCTGTATATATGCTTAGATCTTTAAAACTATTTGGATTTTGATCTGGTTTTCTTTAATAGATAGAGTGATTCAAGACGAAGGTTTATATGTATAACTGAATCATAATATAGTAGAGAAACCCTAATAATTTTAGAGGTTTCTAATGCGATGTCGAAAACAAAAATTCAGCATTGTTCCCGTGCGAAGCCGGTGCGGGTCGCTAGTATATTATAAAGCATTCGGAATATCAAGCGCAAAATTCAATTACACATAACATTTAATGGCTTGAATTCAAAACAATGGGTATCCATTAGATGATAGCTCTTGTTAATGTTTTGAAAGGGTTTTGAAACGTTTAAAATAATCATTGCCCCTTGGTCTTCGGTAATTTTACCTTAATTACTTATGAAGATCGGCTTTAGTAGCTGATAGCTAATGAAACAATACGTCACATTTTTAAATAAGCAAACAAGGTTTTCTAACGTATTTTTCGTGACCAACCGGATATCCTTTATACCAAATGGACTAATATATACGTCTAGAGGTGCGGAGTGACCCAAGGAGGCATTTGTGTTATCCTTAAAATTCCCGAAGAATTTATCATGAAAGTTATACACTATTAAGTACTGTATTTTAAAGGTCACACACCATAGTCTTACTTAGCTGACAACCGAGTATGTTGGAACAAGAATTTCCTAATCATTTATATAACCCCCAAAGATTTCTCTTCCTCCAAGTGAACACGTTCTTGCTAGGTTGTTTGTTAGTAACTAAGCAAATATATTAAGTTTTGATTATTATTCACGTTTATATATACGTTTCTCATTTAAGCGCTCTGTACGGCGACAGACTTCATAACGACGTTTTCTATGAAGATTTCTTATATCAACGCGGAAAGGAATAAGAATATAAATTATTAAATGAAACTGTTACATAACGTAATCTTTGAAAGGACTTCTGAAAGGACATTTATTTTAACAAATAAAAAATCCAATCACATACCGCCAGTATAAGGATAAACCCCCGTGAGTGTTTCACCATTACTTATCAACTGTTGAAGGTGGCTTCGTACTACAGTTAAGGGAAGGTGAAAATGTATTCATCGTGTCATGTCCACTAATAAAAGATAAAATTAATTCTTTTTTTATGTGAAATGTTGCCAAACGAGCAGACAGTTCACCTGATGCTAAGTGCTATGCGGTGGTACCGCCCATGGAAATCTGCTACACCCGAGGGTTTGCAGATGCGTTGACAAGCTTTTTGGAAATTGGGCTCCGGCTACCTCATTCATCAGACGAAACGCGAAAGTATTATGCTTCCACTTGACGCCGGTCTTCTGTGAGGTCGTGGTACTGACCCGGACGGGCCAGCCCAATCGTGCAACAGCCGAGGCCAAGCCGAGGCTTAACCTACTTTTCTGTCCGCTCCTTCAGAAATCAAAAACATCACGATTCTCTATAGAAAAAAAAAACTCTTCCACTCGAAAAGTTTTCCTTGATCTTATTGCTTCGAAACAGCCAATAACGTCGTAGGTCATTTAGTGTCAATAGCCCCTTAATAACATATAATAGTTATATAGATAACATTATCAGCAGTGACGATTTAACGCATACGATTTTTATTTATGAGTCTGAATTAAAGGAAGGAACCAAGCCCAGTATCAGAGGGATCCAAACTCAGCAATTGTACCTACCATGCTATCAGATAATTGGGAATACGCAATGTAACAAATGTAACAAATTGACCGTTCGTTCATTATACTTTATTACACCTAAATATATTAAATATTTACAACATTTATACAAAACAGCAAGCTGTAACTTATTCCAAATACTTAAAGCTAAGTACTTACATCTAAACACTGGTATATCACTTTATTTTATTGGTAACGATATTTTGTGGTAACTCATTGCAAAACAATTTCTCATAAATATTATATGTACATTGTATTCTTACAAATTTTTCTTCACCATCGCCACCGGTTCGATGTACTTCGAGCTTTTTAGCAGACCACTAGGCTTGTCTATCAACTTGTTCATGCGTCTGTTCTGCACGTAATCGACGAGCCCATTGAAGCTGAGCCTTACGATGTAAGCTGTAATAGAAGATATCGTGACGAATAAAACGACGAACGCGACGGCGACGTCTAACAAGTAGTACTGGAAGAAGTTGAGGTCCTTCGCCGGCGAAAGCAAATGGTAGGCGCCCTTGTGCCTGATAACGTATTCCGTCCAATAGATCGCCCGCTCTAGCGGTGTCTCTTTCTGATCCCTCAACAGTATCTGTCTCTTTTTCACTTGTATCTTGTACTTGGGCTCGTCGATCACTTCTTTGATCGCCCGGTACAGTTCGTCTGAGGTCAGGTGGTGGAGGTCGAGGATCTTCGCGTAGCCGTCCACCTGCGCCTTGGCGGCGTTGGCTTCGTGGTCGCAGAACACCGGAATGGAGACTATAGGGACACCGTGGTAGACCGTCTCGAACATACTCAGCAGACCCCCGTGTGTCACGAACGCCTTGATTTTAGGATGACCTGAAAAAATTGTCAAATAAATTTGAATTACCTCACTGGTTCTAATAAACCTTTTATAAGTTTACAGACTGTCACAAATAGACATTGGAGTTGGAAATCTGTTACATGCAATAGAAAAGTTTCTGAAATTTTCCGCCATATAGAATCTTTGACCTTTTCGAACCACTCCTGCATGATCAATTTATTCCTGTATCTCTCTTTTTCAGCACATACAAGCCGTGCAACTATAAGTTGGTGTCCACTTAAATAAATTCGTCATCTATGCAGTAAATTCAAAACAAATTGAATTTATATCGGAAAGAGGTAAAAGACTCAAAACGCTCAACATTTTCGTCCATAAAAAAACAACACTCAAATTTTCTTTACTCGATTGAGATTTGTTACAAGGACTTAGTTATGTCAAAGAATAAAGTAACACAAAAGTTAATAGTTATAGTAAATATTAGTAATATAGTGAGTAGTAGTAAATTTATAGTAAACAGGTTAGCAGGATGTCAGTCCCCTGTTCGTCCTCAATGTATTTCTCACTTTATAATAGGCCGTATTAACGCTTATTTGACAAGTTCCATAATATTAAGCGTGAACATCTCTTATCTAGGCTAGCGCAGACAATCATCCCCACAGACTAGCCGATGTAACGCGTTAGCCTGCGGTATAAACCACTCCGTATGGGGAATCCCTGAGTACCGATATGTGCTCGTTATAAACACAAATCGCTGACACCGAACCATTTGCGTCACAAATATAACGACGCCCCGACAAAACTAAATCGCTCGGCTCGCATAAGTGTGACATAACAGCGCAGTTAATAACTATCAACGAGTTTTTAACTATCACAAAAGCGAGATACATTTCCTGATTAGGTAACGCTTTCGGTAATAAAACTAGTTTTAAGATTTTTAACCGACCAACATAGCCATTGAATGTCACAATGTCCATTCAAAACGATCTGAGTCTGAAATTAGTTGCACACTTCTATGTATCTTAATATTATGACAACGTATTGAATGTAACCAAAGCGTCTTATAATCTGTGCGTCTCTGAAATTAATACACAAATGCCGGTAGGAAAGAAGAGTTCGCGGTCAGCCACGCATTGACCACCGTAGTATAAAAGAATCTCCTACTATATGGAGTGACGACCTGTGCAAGTATGAGGGAAGTCGATGGATGCAGGTAGATTGATAACAATTATATAATACCATATTACTATTAAATGATATAATTTATAAAAATAAATATTTAATAAAATAATTTTATTGAAATGAGTCGTATTAAAGTAATTAATAAAAATGACTGTGACTGTACGTATTCCTCAAATATTTTAACGATTAGAAAGTTCCCCGTTACTGATTCAAGTATTTCAAGCGATTTCAGCTACGAATACAAAAGTATTTCTCTTATTTTCTTCCTCGGACGAGTGGTCTATTTGTGCTACAACAAAAGCTGCAAACAACAAAAGCTCACAACATAGCAATATATCTAGCTATATATGGTAACATAGTCTTATAATAATTCGACTAGTTGAGACGCAGCAATTTGAAATTTATTTTGCAAACATGGATCTGTCACATTATTTTCGTAATTGACTACAACCTTGCCCATATAGGCGTTTAATTATTAAAAACTATTTGCGACGAAAAAAAATACAAGAAAATTATATGTATAATTAATTATTTAACTGCAAGGAAATAATATCGTTGTGATTGGCCGTCGATATAATAATATTGTGGCCATCAGCCGTAAGCTCACTCATTCTTGGAACGTTGTTAATAAAGCCTTATAAACACATTCAATGTTAAAAAATCTTATTTCGTAACAAAAGTCAAGTTTTCTTGGAAGTTGTGAAATATATGATGCGGATATTCATTATCGATATTTATGGTCTACACAAAATGTATCTGAAATTATGAATTGTTGTGTATTGTCATTGTAATATACAAGAACAATTTTTAAGCTATTGCATATCTCTTATCGCGGGCTTTGAGCGCGGCGACCGAATCAAGAAATTCCGTAACGAAAATAAAACGTAACACCACCCACTCCGCCTTCCATGTGAGAGGAAAGATTTGATTGTTGTATGCATTGAATAGGCTCCGAAACTGCAGAACAGATTTGAAAATTTCTTTCACTGTTGGGAAGCTACATTATCCCCGGATGACATAGGCTATATTATATTTTCAAAAAAACTAGGGATCCTTACTAAAACATCAATAATGTAACCCAAAGTGTACAAAAATTACCTAAAATATTCTTTACATCGCGTGCGTTGCGAAAAATATTGATGATAGATTAAAATAATGTACTACGAATTTGCAGAACACATCATTATTTACAAAAAGTGTCGCGACAGCAAATGTTTAACTATTATAGTTATGCCACAATAAGTGTTCTTTTATTTTAAAATTTTTATTGAAATGCCGCCGCTAGAAAATGCTCTTTATTTGTATCTTGGTATTAATCCTTATAAAAATAAATTACTTCATATTTATGACTGTTTCAATATCTTTATATAACTTTTTGAATAATTAAATTCGAAAGATATTACAAGTTTAAAAATGATAGTATATTGTAAGTTAACTATCCAAACAGCTTAGTGACTGACTTAGTAGTTCATATCATTTATGTAAATAATATAAATAAATTATACATAATTAATTATGATATATATATATATATTAATATTTATGTTATTAAAAATATTATTATTTGTTAATATAAATATCAAAAAGATACTGCATAAACAAAAAATAAATACATAATTATAATTGCATAAGTTGATAAAAGATGCTATGCAATAGCTTTACCGTGGCACTCCCCGAGTGCCACAGGTTAATTTTTTATTTTTTGCATATTATAATTTAAATTTACCTTTAATGTGTATGTTATCGGAATGCTTCAAAATATTATTTATAAACATAATTAATGCGCTACACATTGACTTTAATATTGCGAGAGTCGATCGATCGAGAGTATATCAAAATAATATCTTAAACTATCTTCTCATATTAATATTGATTAATGATAAAATGTTTCACAATGAAATAAAATAAAGCAAATAGTTTTACTTATACCACAAGGAACTTTACAAAAAAGCATTAATGTTATTTAAGAAACTAAATAATAATGACAGTGTCAATTTTTTATTTATTTATTAGTGTTAAAGTTTTAGAAATGTTCTGTATGTTGAAGTATATATGACACTAGTGCACCGAAACTAAAGCACTCAAATTACACCAATTCGTGTAATTAGATTACAATTCTATAGACTGCTCTTTCCGTATCATACATTCTGTATCACTGTCACATTCACTTATACAATTTTTAACAATTTTCAAACGCTCCCAATTTGGACATGCGTCGTCTATATTTTTAAACATCAATGGTTGAAAGTCTTTTGTCGAATAAAACATCAATTTTATTGTGAATTGTTGCAAATTTTGAGCTTAGATCGTATTGATTTGACACGTATTTGCAGAATTCTTAGGAACTTTGAATGTTTAACAATTATTTTAACTTAGTAATCATACCTGCCTTTTTATCAATATCGGATGATTTTTCAAATTTTCATTCTTGGTATTATGTTAAGCTTTATCGTTGAGTCATTCTAAAATAACCATTCTGCGACCTTTCCAGTATATATTTAAAATAGAAAAGGACCAATTACTTAGTAAACAGTTCTCTCTAAACTTTGGCCATTAAACCAAAGTTCTAAGACTGGCCTATTTACACTAATCCTTCTTTGAATCCAGAATCGCTATGGTGGATTAATATGTTAATTATTTGATAATCGACATTTTCATTCAACGATGTTTTCTGAGTGTTGTTCACCCCTCACATAAGTGTGATTACATAACTAACCAAGGCGTCGATTAAGTAAGACCGCTTGTCGACAGGCATATGTCTGTTGCTGTATAGCAAGAATAGCATTATTCCCTTCGATGTAGTGCAGATTTTAGTCTAGACGGCTTTAAACGTAATTCAAGTTAATTCCATCATTTTAAATACTTTACATATGACCATAAACGTGGCATATTCACGTTTCGACATACCATCCGCTTTATTTGTTCTTGCGGTTGATAACAAAACAAAAAGCCACAAGGTGTTTGAATGAAAAGAGAATTAAGACGAGTACATCCCATGTTGCACAATATATATTTTAATTCAATCATGTCAGCAAACACCGGTTTTAGTACGTGATTTATGTATTTGTATTGAATTTTTCTTCTCTTTATTCTTTATTATTTTATGTATAGAAATAAATTTAATATTTTTTCTATTTATTGTATTACGTTCATAAAAGCCTAAATTAAGTTCAGCTAGAAGGTAACACGACATTCATTGCCTGTCAAGCGATACGAAGTTACGCCGGGTCAGCTAGTATTACCAGAAAGGTAGATTTTAGAAGTCATACAGCAGAATGCTAGCACTGTGGTATGTGCTGAGGAGAAGGCTGAATACGGGGTGGGGGAGTGCCCAGCCTGGACGGAGCAGCACCGACAGCTGTGCTTTATCGTAAGGCACAAACTTTCACTGCCTGCCGTAGTTCGTGTTATGGTTGACCGCAAGAGGGTGCGAGGTGCTATTCTCGCATATTATAAGGATATAATCACCCTAAATGAGGCCGCGGAGAGACTAAGGGAGACAACTGCCACCCTGGATATCCGCTGGAGGAGAACAGGGCACAGGAGGCTGGCCCATGCGCGCAACCTGATAGTGAGACCGCTAGCGGCAGCCATGGGGGTGTCTGTCACTCAAGATGGGGCTCGTGAGGGTTGCTGTTCTCATTGTACTGGCACAGCACCATTCGGAAGGAGTGGATGTCGTAGCACCGTGAAGAAGAGGCCGAAAATTCACGCCGGTGTCGGGGAAGATTGCGTCTTCGTGGCGTTTATAAAATGTCTTTCTTCGGTTTTCTTCCATGCAAAATCAAGTCTATGCGGTGATTTCCTAATGACAGTAAATGAAGAAGTGATTTGGAACTTAAGAAGAATGCTATGGAAATAGCATACTCGGTATATCTTTCAACGTTATTAAAAATAAAAACTAAACGTAAAAAGTTACAACATATCAAATTACTTTTAATTAAAGTTCTATCTATCTCCTATCACTTAAGATGAAAAGTTGCAAGTCAGAGCAATTGTTTAGGGCTTTCTGTTTACATGTAATAATTAAACAATTTATCCTAGTATTGGTTTATTTTGTAAGTTTTTATCTTTTATAAATATAAGTAGCGAAGTGATATAATCAGCAAACAAATAAACTGCATTGGTTTCAATGACCGCGTTAAAGCAAGATGCATATAAACGGTTATTAAGTAAACAGGCTCACGGCCTGCTGGCAAAATATTACTCTACAGAGCAATTCAAGGTTAACAAAAGCAATGGAAAATTTTATGCTTTTGTTTCATTTAATGGAACAACAAGCAATTATAACTCAGTGTCCGGGTGCTCGCTTTTAATCCAATATGCTTGAGCAACCTGATTTCAAATCCCGATACTGGCACAATCAAATTGTTAATTGCAATTAAAACATTGTGAGCCTGCATAATTTTGAAATAACATTAAAAAAAATATTTCAAAGATATGCTCCCAATCCGCGGTCGCATGCGCAATAGCAGTGGGATATGTACAGCCTATTACGTTACTTTCACTTTTTCAAGCGGTTCTCCTGATGGTGACTGAGATCCGCCACACGAGGAATTTCACACAGAGCTTTTCTAGTTGAGTTGGCCCACCACCGAGTGGCCACTGGTTACCAAACTTCCTGGACAGAACGCACACAAACTTGCGCCGGTTATTTGTGAGGTGGTACATACCCAGTCTAACTGGCCTGTGCGTGCAGCAAATACTAATAACTAATCTGCAAATTTTCAGCGAAGACATAAAAACGCGAAACAAATTAGATTTACAACGTATGTATGTTCGAGATGTATTAGCTAAATTCTAGAGATTAAAGAGAAGATATTAAAGTTATTGAAGTAACGAGTGTAATGTCGAGGTCACTTACCGTAGGATAAACTGATAGTACTACACATGGTAAAGGTAGAATGAATAAATAGAGTCAAATGTATTCAACAGAAAAATATATTATAAAACAATTCATCGTTATTCTATATGAAACAAGATTAGAATAGCTGAGGGCTTCCCAGTAGATCTGTTCTGTCTTTGGTTCATGATATAATCACATTTCAATTTCGTCGGTAAATGGATTTAGCTCTGTCGCCTAGATCAAATCTGCCCACATTTCAAACGGCCTTAAGCCACTTTAATTACCATCGAAAACGAAAATTTCGATTGAATAATCAGAGATCAGTAAAATAGGGAGAATTGAGAGAGGTCTAGTAAATAAACCGCAATGTCTTTCTAATCAATATCTATTTTTGCTATATTATGATTAGTAAATAGGTTAGAAATTTTGTAATAAAATCTTAGAAGGAACCTTTCTTAGTCTATATCGTGTGACGTTCTATGTCTACAACTTAATGATGTCAAAGAAGAAATCTTAGAGGCAATGCGCTCTTCAAGAACTAAGATCAGGAAAAATGCGTAATGAGACGTTTATCACAACCGGGCTTGGCCTTTATTGCATTTATAACGAAATGATTTAAACAATCTCCTCAGTAACTGCTGTTCAGCACCGTTTAGTGAGTTGGAAGCACATAGGTCTAGAGCAAAATCTGTCTTACCCCCAATTAATAGCGAGTTGAGCCAGACTATTCGTTGTATCCGTGATTTCATTTTTATTAAATCCCCCCTTGACACAGGAGTGGTCCCATACTACAAGAATCGTTTTTGCAGAGGAAAGATGAACATCACTATATTAAAAAGAAATGAATAGCAATAAAAACAGGCCAAGTGCAAGATGGACTCGCGCACGAAGGCTACCATTATCTCTCAAAACGGCAAAAAAAATCATGTCTTTTGTACGGAGGCCCAAATTAAATTTTGTTTTTATTCTGTTTTTTACTATATGTTGTTATAGCGGCAACAGAAATACATGATCTGTGAAAATTACAACATTAGCTATCACGGTCATAATCTAGCTAGTCTAGCTATCACGGTTCATGATATACATGCTTGGAGACAGACGGATGGACAGACAGCGGAGTCTTAGTAATAGGGTCTCGTTTTACCCTTTGGGTACTAAACCCCAAAACGTGGAACCAACACCTGGAATTAAGTCTAAAAAGGAAATAGTATGAAATAATTGTTTACCCAGCAGGTCTTGCTGTGGCAGCCATTTGTACAGCCTGACGTTGGATGGAATGTCCGTCAGGTTTTGCTCAGCGTCCTGCTTCCAGAGAACCCTTTGCGGTAGACGGCCCAGCGCTTTGACGATCATGCGGTGAGCAGCCAATGGCATCGTGTTGGTGCGAACTGACGACCCCATGGACACATAGACGAAACCTGCGTCGCCCGCCCCAGATATCCACTCCTCGATATCCTGCAAATCGTTTGCTATAATTTCTTTTCTCGTAGGCTCTAGTCAATATTTCATTTGCATTTGACTATAATTTAAATCATCTTGGTCGATTATTTTATTTTGATATCGGATTTTAAGTTTTAATGTAGCCGTAAGTCAAAAGTACCTTATTAATTACAACATGACTCGGAGGTAATGATTTGAATACAAGCACTTATAAGTTAACTAGCGACCCGCCCTGGCTTCGCACGGGTGCAATATATTATTCATATAAACCTTCCTCTTAAATCATTCTATCTAGTAAAAAAAATCATCAAGATCCGGTGCGTAGTTTTAAAGATCTAAACATACACAGGGACAAACAGACAGCTGGACCATTTTGTTTTGTACTATGTAGTAACGTAGTAGTGGTAACTTTCGGCGACGTTTACAATTGGGGAATATGTAAGGGAATTGTAAAAATAATCTAGTCCAAAAAAGGCGCTCACCGCATTCAGTATCTTGGGCTCCTTGCAATGGATGCAAGCGACCTCGGCGACGTTCGGCAGATACGGCCGCGGGTAGGAGACGGAGTAGTGGCCGTTCTGCAGGATGAAGCTGACGTTCTTCGCCATGTCATACACGTGCGGCATCTGGTGGCCGAAGTGTCTGCGCAGGACGCCTTGAAGTACCGCCATGCTGAACCCGTGGGCTAGTAGAGAGCCGGTGAGCCAGGCGGCGTTCAGGGCTCTGTCCACGAAGCCCATGTTATCCGTGAACGCCCTCCCGAAGAACGGGGTGACGGAGAAAGGGGCTGGGCTGCCCGACATGCTCGCAGGGCCGGCATAGAAGCCGACGGTGTTTATGTACATGAAGGGCACCTTAAGGCGATAAACCACGCCCAAAGCGCACTCGGGGTACGCGCCGTCGAGGATGATAAGATCGTAGGTTCTTCCGGAGCGAAGGAAGGATCTCGTCTCGTAGTCGTCTAGGAACGCCTCACAAGCCTACACGTAAAAATGCATCTTAGATTTATAGGATAGATTCATCGATCTTGATATGGATGTATTTCTGGTCTCTCAGGATACCTCAGTGGCGTAGTCATTATGTGATTGGCCACAGCCCCGGCGCTAGTGGGATCGATTCCTACACGGGACAAGTACTTATGGAAACCCACATCAGGAACACCCGTGAGGGTTTCAGTTGCTCCGGGCACTCGCTTTAATTCATTAAAAAATATTCTTTTTTAATCATACTCGAGCAACCTGATCTCAAGTCGCGGTGCCAGCTCGAATGAAATTTTTAATTTTTTGCTGCCTCACTTGTCACGTGCTCAGCGGTGAGGAAAACATGGTGAGGAAACCTGCATGTTTTCTAAATAGTTAATAAGAAAAAAGATTTCGACGATATTCGTGGGGAACTGTGCCTTAATGCCTTCTGTGTAAAAGAGGCCTATGCCCAACAGTGGGACATGTATAGACTATATACTTTACCTTTATGTTTACGTCTACAAAACTCAAAAACTAGCCGATGGATTGATTTGATAACATTGAACAGGAGGCTGTTTTTATATTTTAATGTTTTTCTACATATTTTAATACTCTATTCCGAAATCACGTGAACAAAGTCGCGACCTTTTACCTGGTATCCGTATCTCAGTATGTCATATAAGGGAAGCGGCTCTTCCCCTCTCATCCGGGCCCCAACCAGGTCGAAGGTCATGTAACCGCGCACATACGACGCCAGACCCTCGGGAGCAATCTCCTCTAATCCGGGAATGTGGAAATCGGGCGCAAAAGCGCTTATCAGAGTTATGTTGTGGCCTCTGGAATTAAATTATTATTAAAATAATGTCTTCTTCGTGTATTTAGCGTGTAAAACTAAAATGCCCCTTGCCGAGCTGAAACCTTGTTTACCTATGTATCTGTGTAAAGCATACAAACAAATCTTATATCAGACGGTATGAAGTAGGCGCCACGTATGGACGCAGAAAATTTAAAGACGACTTTGATTTTGGACTCCTGTTATTCACCGGTTGAAAAATAAAACTGTAAACACTTCCATGATAATCTGATTTTTTTAAGGTCATGGGCAGTGGCGGATTTGCTGTAAGGCCCAATAGGCTCGGGCCCACAACGGCCACATATTAGGGGTGGCCATAACAAGACATATATTATGATGGGCGCTGAGAAGGGGCGTCTGGAACTTACTACACGGGCTGGGCCTAGAGCTACCAAGATACAATCCGCCTCTGATCACGGGGCCTTAATCGATCTAGCCTACCAGCATATCCAAACTAATGCGTGGCTAAAACAAGAAACCATCTATTAAGTTGTTTCGTTGTGACTTGGGCATGCATCTTACAATGTGAACTTTGTTTTTTTTATTTATTAATCGCATTCATGAGATGTGTTGATTAATAATCATTAAACCAAATATTTTATTGAAACTCAACTTAAGAGCCTGTTAGCTAGATAGTGTTTTCCTGTGGTAGGGCCACGCAACAGTCCTCCTGTTCAGCGATGGGCAGTTCCATCCAGGAACTACCACGAACTCACAGAAGACCGGCGTGAAGTAGAAGTGTTACACTTCTGCGTTTCATCCGGCGAGTGAGCTTGATCCGCTTGATTTAAAGGATTTGCATCACCATCCTTACCGTTGTTGCAAATGTCCATGGTCAATGGTTATCGCTTAACTTAATCAGGTGAGCTACCAACTCACATAAAAAAAACTATAGAATTAAAGTGTAATGCGTAACGAGTTACCTGCGTATCATCCCCCTGGCTAGTTCCCAGAAGGGCATTTTGTGGGACTTCGTGCCGCCCATAGTTATCATGAGGATGTCACTGCCGCACGCCGAAGCCGCTAGGAATATTGGCAGCCAAAAGGCGGCCCACCGCGACCCCTGCTGGAGATAATAAAAACGTAATTAATAATTTTGCATCTGGACTTATTTCACACATACGGTGTTTATGGTTAATGTTTCAGATATAAGCCATTTAAAATTTTTTAAAACTGTGTTGTGGAAGAGCGAAGCCTTCTAGTACATTTTATACTTATTGGGAGGCTCTAACCGAAACAAATAAATTTTGAAATAATAAAAAGATCATTTTATAGCGACGCTGAGTATGAAACAACATAGGGTGCTATTTGTGATTTAATTATTTCTTGATTTACTACAAGTTTTAAAGAAACTAGGAATCCGTAATGTAGCTTAGTTGTCAGTGCCAGTCAACCCAAACAAATACGGGGAAAATTTATAATCTTCTCGGTAGATAAAAGTTTATTTTGGAAAAAAATCTTTAAGATGAAGGCGACAAGGCGCTATCGTCTGTAACCGTCGTGGTTAATCAAAGTCGGTCCTTTCACAACGAAAGCTTGAATCTAAAAAATAAAGTTTTGAAATGGAAATGAAAGCTGCGACTGCTTAGTGCCGGGGCACTCGCTTTTTAATTCATTATATACAAGCCACTCGGGTCTCGAGATCCGAGTGCACAAATGAATTTGTTAAAAGCACTTTCAAGCGCTGAGTTAAATCGTGCTACGTGGTGAAGGAAAGCATCGTAAAAATCAGAAATAATTATTGAAACATTTCGAAGATATTTACTTCTAGTTTTACATGATTCAAGTATTATATTTATATGATGTATTGTATACAACATATAAATATGTGTTTCAATTTAAATAATTATACTTTCAATTTTAATTCATGTTTTTTTATTATCAACGTCAACTTTTTTAATATTTTTTAAAAATGGTTGTGGTATACCCAAAACTTATCACTATTTCAAATTATTCTTGTCTTTTGTTTTCAACATGCTCAGTGGTTCTTTGGCATGTCCTAGTTGTTTCGATTGCTTTTTTTGCAACTGGCTGGAGCCACGTAATAGTACCTACCTTTTAGTATGACAACTTTTAGCTAAGAACAAATTTTGTTCGTTGTTGTTTTGTTTGTCATGTGAGGTCTGCGAATTCGCGTTTCGATCGCGTGGTGACTATTACAATAGATTGTAATTGTACCATTGGGAAATTTACATAAATTCACATAATTACTCTACAGCTATTGTACGAATGAACTTGAGTTTGGGCGACGTACTATGGCCGCCCAGAAGACATCCGTGGAGTGGCAATATTACGCTTTTACGTTCCTTCGGGTGACTGAAGTAAATTAAGCCCACTTTTTAGAAGGTTGGCAACGCGTCTGCAACCTCTGATGCTTTGTAGATTCTATTGATGGCAGTAATCACTTCGCATCAGGTGACAGTCCGCCCGTTTGCCGCCTTCTCACATAAAAACACACATGATGAATATATCACGCGAAGTTATTCATGAGTGAGGATTTATTCAACTTCCCGCGCAATATGGCGGTGAAAAAAAAGCTACGAGAAATGAGTTCACTGCCAATAGCTCGTTTCACATTGGCTTCTATTCACGTTTCGCGCGAAACAATGGCAAATACCATTCTCACGCTTGTACGTGTACGTACATTTGTACACTTGTATCGTTATTACAACGTGTGATTTCCTCGAAATTAAATTTAATAAAAATCTTTTGTCAGCCTCACATGTAGGTATGTTATGTTTTTTTAACCACCTTTAAGCTTACATTTTTGAAATGTGAATATTGTTTATGGAGTGTAACACAAGTAGTAGTAGTAGAGTGTAAGAGTTTAAATGATAATGAGCCGTGATAGCTCAGTGACCGGGCTCTCGGCTTTAATCCATACTAATATTATAAATGCGAAAGTAATTCTGTCTGTCCGTCTCGCTTTCACCTCAAAACTACTGAACTGATTTAAATGAAATTTGGTACACAGATAGTGTTATTAGCAAACGTTCAATATACTAATATATTGAACGTTTGCTAATAACACGTATAATCAGAAATTGCTTATTTAGATATTTTTTTATATAATTATTACTACTCATTTATTTAATTAAAGATTATTTGACATACGTCCACACTCAATTTGACTACAGTTAAACATACCATATTATATTATACCACCAGGCCTTGTACAAACTATGCTGGTTTTCTTTTTACGCTTATTTGGTAAATAAACTATAAATGCTATTTGCATTAACTTCCATTTTATCCAAAATGGTACGATGGTTGTGTACAAAATGGAAGCATTTCAAAATAGAGCGATATTAAATTATTTTAGACACAAGTTTTGCCTATCTATATATATGTGTAGCTTAAAATTTCGCAAAATGTTCGTGTTGCGAGCAGCCGCGCGCTTTTTGCATTAAAATTGCCAACAGCACGTTTTATATGTTGCGCAAAGGCAAATTTATCACCTGATAATCATCGGAGCGTGTTCGCGGAGGCATATTCGTTGTAGCTGGCGCGTTCATTAAGTTTTTCTTTAAATGTCTCATTAAAAGTAAACATGTTCATTTGCGTAAGCTTGATGCGTTGCACAATACGCGGCTCTCCGTCCGCCCGTATGTGACGATGGTTTTCAACCGAGCCGCCCCGTAACAATAATGCTGACTGAAGACCTTTTTCGAATAGGACATTTTAAGTTAGCCTATCTTCTGGAGGAAGACAGAGTTATGTGGTTATTATCCACAAAGCCCTCTTGGTAACCACTTTCAACACGTTGGGAGGGGCACCGCGATCTCCTACGAAGAGTACTGGTCTCCTCTGTACTGTGCATGAGTGCCTCGGGAAATACAAACCTTCCCGAATTCCCTCACTGATTCGCAACAGGAGTCCACTTTCTGATAACCACAGGACCATGTCCCCATCCCAATCATCCGTGAACCCAGTCTCCCTTTTTGACGGCTAAAAGGGTTCACGACGGGCGAAACCCCTTATGTTTACAAAAAGAAAGTACTGAAGTCATTTCATTAGTATATATTATAGTATAGTATTCTTCAAAGTGAATTTATTTTTTAATTTATTTTTGATTCTTTATTGTTAGTCTATTCTTTGTATTTAATTTTTTATGAATTAGTTTTTTTTTTTTACTAAACTTTGTCACAATATTGTAAACGTTGTACACACCTGTTATAGGTGTACATATTAGGTCCAGTGTTATTAATTTTTCCTTTTTTTTGTAAGTTGTGTAAATATGTATACTGTTGGTGTCTTAATTAAAATAAAAAAAAAACCCAAATTGGTTACAACGTATTCTGCTTTAATAAACTAACATTTCCCGGCACGTTTTGTAATGTCAACTAAAAAAAAAGTATTCACAATACCCCTTTATTTTTTTGCACAGAAGAAAAACATACGAATTTACTTTTTATTTTAGTCAGGAACCTATGCAGATTAGCGCGTATTAACGGACCAAAGTTTTAGTTCTTTAATTTATGTTTATTAAAATTCGGTTCGCGATATTTCTTAATATCTACATCCGAAATGTGTGGTATCAACTTCATTGATTTGGAACTATTTATTTCCCAAAAAGTCATTGGGTACTATAGCACCCCGAAAGACATTAATTAGGTCAGTCGAAATAAAGTAAACAACGATCTTAAAAGATAGAGCCGCGAATAAATGCTGTTAATAAAGTGTTAGTTCCAACCGTTTGTCATTACCCGCTAAAACTAGCATCACAGCGAACCTTTTTCAATTTAAGACCAATTAAACTTTTCAGTTATAAATATCACAAGATAATGCTAAAACGTACGGAATTAAAAAAGTGTCTGTCGGGTAACGATAACACGAGTTTTATTTCAGAGCGCTGCATTTTAATTTGAAAAGTAGGAAATCAAACCAAAAATATTCAAAATTTTCCTAAAGCGACGAATTCACTAAACAAATGAATAATTAAAGTTTTTAATTTTAAGTTTTTAATTTAAATAATTGAAGTCTTACAGTTACTAAGAAACTTTAGTGTACGCTCGAGTGGACAATCATGGTTTGGCAATAGTCGATCATTCGTCTAGACTTTATTTCGTAAATTTCCGTGAACTTATTACCAAATGCTTAGAAATGGGACTTGACGGCTATGCGAGTTCAACGAACTGCGCAAAAATTTCCTCAACTATTAATCAACGGTCTTGAGTAATTAATCTTTTTCGTAAGCTTATTACGACACCTGCGCATACAGAGTAACACTGGATAAAAGTAGCTCTACTTTTAAAATATTTAATAAAGTTAATATTAACATAAACATTACAATAGATTGGAACAATTTGTGAAAACAGTGATCTAAATATTTATATATCCTTCTAGTAATTTTTGGTAAATGTACTTAAAACATTGTTTCAATAAGATAATTCAAGATGTCGATAAGAACATAAAGTTAAGTGCAAACTCTACGAAATTAACGATTGGAATGTAGCAAAGTATTTGGCACTCCTTTTAAAGTAGGTTTACTACATAAGCGGGATAGGATTGAGAAACTTGCACGGACTATGTTCACCTTAAATCTCTGCTCATTAGTTTTTTAGCAGCTGACAAACGCGACGAGGCCATCAGGTTGTACTCACTGTGATATTATAGTGAATAAGAATAAAAACCGGCCTAGTGCGACTCCGACTCGCGCACGAAGAATTCCGTATTACTATGTATAAAAAGGGCAAAAAAAAATCATTTCTGTTCTATGAGAGCCCCACCTAAATATTGTTTGATTCTGTTTTTTAGTATTTATTGCTCTGTGAAAATTTCAACTGTCTAACTATCACGGTTTTCAGCCTGGTGCTAGACGGACAGAGTATTAGGGTCCCGTTTTACCCTTTGGGTACAGAACCCTAAAAACTTATGACTGCCGAAGCTTTCAATAGATGTCTGTAATAGAATCATCCGAAGTATTTATTTTCAGAAGTGCACGTACTATAGTATACTAGCTCACTTTTTTCGTCGTATCATTTTTTTTTATTTTCTTTGAAAAAAAGAACCCACGACCCCAGTACCGAAGTCGATGCCTTGGCAACTGCATCACGGAGTCATCATTGAACTGTTTATCAATTTTTGATTAAGGACGGCTTCATATATTATATTTAAGGAGAATGCTATTAAAGCAACCTATGTGTACCTACAAACCTCCCACTCATACCAATGAATCGAAACTTTTAGAAACATACTCCGATGAAAACATTTGAATTCAATACTCGTTCCGGCAATATCCTTCTTACTTTCACTTTATACCCAATTTTGAGGTTATAAAAGTCGTAATTATCGTCAAAGCTTTATCTATAGTTAGTATCTTCAGTAAAAATGTTAGAGGTTACATTAATATGAATATGCTCAACAATTGTACCGGTAACGGGTCAAGAGAAACAAACACTGTGAGAAACAAGCAGCTGTAAATGACTTACAATTAAAGTATAATCATTAAAAGTACGTTTATAATTAAATAAGTTCGGACGTTCGTGAGCAAAAACTGTATATGCTACTAGCTTAGATAATTATATCCCGTGCAAACCCGTCGTTCGCTATCAAACAATACAAATTAACCCGCTATGCTTATCTGAAGATTGCCTGAAAATTTAAGAAAAATCGTTCCAGCCGTTTTGGATTGTGCCATAGGGAACGTAACTCTAAATATTCAAATGTACTTCAGTTCATCATCCTCCTGCTCGTATCCCACCTAGGTACCCCACCTGGGATAAGGGCAGTGGGGTGGGAACGTAACTCTAAATATTCAAATGTACTTCAGTTCATCATCCTCCTGCCCTTATCCCACCTAGGTACCCCACCTGGGATAAGGGCAGTGGGGTGGGAACGTAACTCTAAATATTCAAATGTACTTCAGTTCATCATCCTCCTGCCCTTATCCCACCTAGGTACCCCAAATGTACTTCAGTTCCTGGGATAAGGGCAGTGGGGGGGGAACGTAACTCTAAATATTCAAATGTACTTCAGTTCATCATCCTCCTGCCCTTATCCCACCTAGGTACCCCACCTGGGATAAGGGCAGTGGGGTGGGAACGTAACTCTAAATATTCAAATGTACTTCAGTTCATCATCCTCCTGCCCTTATCCCACCTAGGTACCCCACCTGGGATAAGGGCAGTGGGGAGGGAACAACATGTGAATCATGTCACAGCATGGGTATGGTTGTTTTTATGACCGGCCGCCTGCGTGACGTCAACCCTTCTTGGGAAACAGAACACCTAGAGCCGGAACAATTATCTATGGTTTACACAAATACTCGTTCCGCGTAGGAACAACGACCCTCGACGACGAAACCAATAGCTAGGAACAGCAACATCGAGTCAGTCAAATGTACTTCAATTATTCATAAAATTGAAAAATTGCAGAGGAATTCAATATTCAGTTGCGTTTTTTTGTAATTTATTTAAGCATACCATTCTTAAGGACGTTGGCATTTACGAAATAACAAGTCATGAGCTTACCAGCTTGACTAACCTAAAGGACCTACATAGTACAGGCAAACAATAGACAATTAAATAAATACGCAGAGGTCCATATCGCTCACCTGTCAATAGACAAAGTGTAAAATTTAAATAGCCAATACAACCATTCCATGACGGAACAAATGATAATGCCAGTCGTAAAGAATGACGACCTTGAAACGGTTCAAATACAAACACATTTATATGGAAATATTTTTGTCGAATTATTGTTGTATTTGAGTTCAAAGAACTTTTCGTGTTTACTTTTTAACGAATGTTCTTCAAAAGAGGAGGATAATTTATTTAGTTTGATATTTTTAAAAAAGTTTCACCTCAAAACTTGTATAACATTATCTATAGTATAGTTGAAAGAACACTGGGGAAAAGAAAGAACATGGGAAAGCTCCTAGATCCGACAAAAATATATTTCTTCAAAATACTTGTTCCTATAATTTAAACTGAACTATACATGGACGATTTATATCTATTTTTATCTGTTGATAAAGTTTAACAGCTCATTCAGGACCTTCCGTTATCGTGTTCGAAAGACATGAATTTGGGTAATATCGGTATTTTTTTTTATGTAAGAAGGTTATTGTTTGAAGGTTTTTGTTTTATGAAACGAGCTGGTGGTTCACCTGATGTTAATTGATCACCGCCGCCCATAGACATATGCAACATCCGTAGGGTTGCAAATGCGTTGCCACCTTTTAATAAAGTGGGCCCCGGTCCTCACTCACCAGACGAAACGCAGAAATATGACACGTCCACTTCACGTATTCTATGTGGTACTTACCCGGACGGACCTGACCATTGGAGCAACAGCCGAAGCTATTGCGTGGCCCTACCACAGTAATCTGTAAAGAGGGGTCTCAAAGTTAACCCAAAACACACGTATTTCCTTAATTTTCTTTTATAATATTATGCTGATACCAGATTGTAGAAGCTCGTGCAACGAATGAATTTATTAAGTCGTGCTAAAGTGTTCACAATACTCTCATTAAGCCAAAATCACGTGA